GCTCAAATAATGCCTACAAGTTCAACCATTATTGGTTTGGATTTAGTTCACATTAAACCAATTCCAGGATGTAAAGCATTCACCTAAGACATTACAACACCATAATGTGTATAATTACTTAAAAAGGAAATACCATAAAAAGCAGATGTTATCTTACATGATGGTGCTCCTAATGTTGGAGCTAGTTGGGCTAAGGATGCTTATAACTAAAATGATCTTGTCCTGTCTTCCTTAAGATTGGCATCATAATTTTTAAAGAAGGGTGGAGTATTTGTGACAAAAGTATTTAGATCAACAGATTATAATTCATTAATGTGGGTCTTTAATAAATTTTTTACAAAGGTAGAAGCTACTAAACCTTTAGCAAGTAGATTTGTTTCAGCTGAAATATTTGTTGTTTGTTTAGATTATTTAGCACCAGAATATATAGATGAGAAACTATTTGATTCTAAACATGTGTTTAAAGATACTGAAACAGATATGTTATAGTAATAAATTTAAAAAGAAATTGTTTCTGTTGATAAAATTCTTTAAAAAAGAACTTAGAGACATAGAAGTGGATATGCTGATGATGTTCATTAAACTGTTTATTAAATGATAGATTTTGAAGAGTTTCTTCATGCTGATAATCCATATCCAATATTTATTGAATATGCTGGAATCAAAATGACTGAGGAAGCTAAAGAAAAATATTTGAGTCTTACTAAACCTCCATAAGATTATCAAATATTGATGGAAGATATCAAAGTATTGGGAAAGAGAGAAATTATATAATTATTAAAATGGAGAAGTAAAATCAAGCATTTTTTATCAAAATAAAAGAGAGAATAAAAATAACTATAATAATAGGAGGAACCATAAAGTGCTGAATATGAAGATCTTGATGAAGCTGAAGGAGATAAAGAAGTAAATGAAGAAGAAGAAGAAGTAGAGGAATAAGATGATCTTGAAAAATTGGTAGATAAATAAAAAGAAGCTTTGGAATAATAATATATTGAAGAACAAAAGAAAGAATTAAAAGAATAAAGAAAATAAAAATAAAAATAAGCTTAATAAGAAAAGAAATTAGCTGGAAGAGGAATAGGATTCACTCCTTAAGAAGAAGATTAAGAATTATTTTAATTTTCTAAACATAAGAATTTACTGAAATTAGGTTATGTAGATGTAGAAGATAAATAAGAAGAGAAATTAAAGAAAGAGAAATTGGCATTTAATAATTAAAAATAATTAGATCAAAATTTAGAATTAATTTATGAAAATAAAAAATAAAAAAAAGAAAATGCTTTAGAAAGAATTAGAAATAAAAAGTAAGCCTTAGAATCTGAATAAGAAGAAGTTGATGATGAGGATCTTGCTTGTAAACCAATTAAAAAAGTTAAGAAATAAGATGATCATTTAAAGATTTCAGATTTAAAAAGCAAATTCTTTGATAAGGAGGAGTTCTCAAAATTAAAGGAATAACTTAAAACATAGAAAGAGAGTGTATTTGACAATCCTTTAAAAAATTAAAATATAACATAATTAGAAAAGAAGAAAAAAGATAAAACTGATAAGGAATAAAATGCTGATAAATTCAAAAATGATTCAGATAGTGAAGTAGAAGATGAAAAAGTTATGGATCCAAAATAATTGAAAAATTTATAAAAATAAATCTAAGAAGACTTAAATTAATTAGGTGATAATAAAGATATTGATTTATTGAGAAGGGTTGATAAAAAAGAAATAGAATATTAAAAAAAATTAAGTATTTATTTATATATATTTATTTAGATATAAAAATTACTCAAGATCCATTACCAGGAGAAGATGAAAAAGTTAAATAGTTTGAACTTAATCTTCCTATTTCAGATATGGAAAAAAGAAGAAGAAAATTAAAAAAAATGGCAGCTAGAGAGGAGAAGAAAGCTAAATTAGCATCTGATAAAGATCCAAATCATAAAGAATTAGAAATAGTAACAGAAAAGAAAATAGAAGATTATGATATTGATTAATTAGCTACTAATCTAGCATTGGCAAAAAAAATGATGAGAAAAAAGACTAGAGAACAAATAATAGAAAATTCATTTGGAAGAGATAAATGGGAAAATGAAGATTTACCTTAATGGTTTTTAGATGATGAAGAAAGACATGTATTTAAAATGGAACCTATTACAAAAGAAGAATTTTAATAAGAAAAACAAAGATTATATGAAATCAATTCTAGAGTACCTAAAAAAGTATTAAAATAATATCATTATTTAAGATTATGGAAGCTAAAATAAGAAAATGGAAAAAGGCTCAAAAGAAACTTAAAACAGCTGCAAAAAAAGCATAAACAGTTTTTGATACTGATGGTATTAATGAAAGAACTAAAATGTAATAAGTGAGAAGAATTTATAATAAAGAAAAAGCAAATATTTAAAAAGAATAAGAAAGAAAAGTCATTGTTGCCAAAAAAGGTTAAGCAAGTGGAAGTATATATTTAAATTTTATTTTAGAATTTAAAAGTTCAAGAAAAGTTCTAACAGTTGATAAAAGATTGAAAAAAGATAAAAGAGCTATGAAAGCTAAGGCAAGAATTGGAAAAGGAAAAAAGAGAAGACAAGTTACAAGAAGAAAAGGAAAAAAGTAGAAGTCTTGATTACTTCTGTTTATAGTATATTAAATCAAACAAAGTAATTTGTATTATATTTGAATCCCCCTTCATTATAATCATAATATAATATCTCTCCTGATTTTATATCTCTGCATGCATATAATATTACTCTAGACTATCCTTCAACATTATATCGTCTAGATTTCACATTTTATTATATTTTCTTACTATTTTTTTTACTATTATTAATTCCTGATAAGTATTTTGCTATATTTCCATTCTTTTCTGGTATTATAACAAGTGATGTTGCAGCAAAACCAGTTTCTAATAAACTCATTATTGAATCTGAAGTACTATATACTTGATCTGCAAATCTATATACATCACCAGCATATTCACAAATTAAGGTTTTATAAGCTATAGGTTATACAGATCTAACATAAAATCCCTAATCTGAATTATATTCTACTATCAAAGGACCATAAAATCCATTCTTTGTTACTTATTTGTATTTTTTAAAGGTTATAAGATCTTTTCCTATTAATGGATCTAGTTTTTCATTGTAACCATTATTTAATTCTTTTTTGATAGATGAATAAACTAAATCATCATTAAAATTAATGTTTTAACAATATAAGGCATATTATAATGATTGAAAGCAATTTTATCTCAGTTTATCATTATATACACAACATGGTAGTATGAATAAATTTGAATTTGTCATTGGAACACTAAAATTAAGAAGTTGATTCATTTTTTCATTAAAATTAATTTTAGATGGTTTTTAAGAATGACAAAAGTTACAAATAGGGGAAATAGTTTTTTATCCATAACATTTTTTATGAAATATTTTATTACATTTTGAACATATTTCTTCATCTTTAGTATCTACTTCTTTTTAGCATTTCTAACAAATATTATCTGTTTCTACATCATTAGTATCAGGGAAAGTATTTTTCAATTCAATACAATGTGCACATGTCCAATCTTTCTATATTTATTTTGGTCTCTAAATGTATTCTCATATTTAATACCATACAATTAAAATGATAAGCATCTTCACAAATTACACAATTTGCATATTTTTATTTAATAATCCATATTTTGCATTTAGCACATACAGTGTTTTTTTTAAATTCTAGTAATTTAGGTTTTGAAGATTCCTTCATATCTGACATAGTTATTGGAAGTGTAATACTTTATTCTTTCATTTCTTTATGAAGTTTTTAGATTTGATTTATAAGTATAATATAAATAAATAAATATATATAATATGTCTGATTACGATAACTAAATAAATGGAGATAATGATGATAATGATAATATGGTTAATAATTCTTAAGAGAAGGAAGAATAAGAAAAAAAGGAATATTTCAAAGAACTTGTTGTTAGATTAAAAGAAGTGTAGGCAAAAATTAAGTAAACAAAGACTGATATTGAAAATGAGAAATAAGTATTAAATATTAAGTGATTAGAAATTAGTTAAGATAAGATGCTGCAATCAAATTAGAAGAGAAAAGAGAGCATATCAAAAAACTCTTGATTAAATAAAATTAAACAACAACTGATGTATATTTTCTAATATTCAATAGAAAGTTGAAGCATTGATTAGAGACACACTTGAAAATCTTGTTTAATAGACTTTATAAAAATAATAAGAACTTAAAGATCTTAAAGAAAACGAAAAAGAGAGATCTTTTTTAAATTATGAATTAGAATTACAATTTAGAAATTTAAGGTGTTATTTTATTTAATTAATATAGAAAATATGTCAGTGATGTTAGATAAGAATTACAAGAAAGTGATTAGCATGCTTAAAAATTAAAAATATAAATATAAAAATAAACTAATACTAATTTACTATTAAGAACTGATGTTGATGAAAAATCATAAAAGATATAATAATTAAAATAAGAGGCTTAATAATTAAGAGCAACAATATAAAATTTAAATGATGTTAAAAAGGTTATCAATAGAGTTTCAGATTAAGAATAAATTATTATTGAAAGTAATGTACAGAAAAAACCTAGAAATTCTTAGAATAATAAGTCTGCCTCTTAATAAAGAGTAAATTATAATACACATGATGTTGATGATAACTTTTGGTATGGTGAAAAGTAATTAAAACTACCATCAGTTCAATCAACCAGAAAAAAATAATGAATAAATTAATATTTTATAGTTCACTTCTTAATAAAGTTATCATTAAAATTTTATTAGTGAAGGCTTTCTAGTATATCGGTAGTATGCATGCTTAGGGTGCATGTGAGCCGGGTTCAATTCCCGGGAGAGCCCATTTTTTTTGTTATCATTAAGTTTTAATAAAAATATATAAGCAACAAAAAAAAAGTTAAATTTGAAATTCAATATTTAGAAATGCTAATTTCTTTTTTTAAATTCTAAATGCAATTCACATATTTGATACTACTTTAAAAATAAGAAATAAAAAATCTGAATATAGAAAATAATTTTTCAAAATTAATTGATCCTTTTATTTAGAATTATTAAAATTATTACAATATTATTGATTATTTTAGAATTAAATCATTTTATATCACAAATTAAAGGCATTTTTGATTTGACTTTGAAAAAGGAAAAGAATCATATGATAGAACCTTTTAAAGATTAAATTACTATACAAAATATTCATGTATTGTAATCTCCTTATTATCTTTTTTTATAATAGTAAATCTTCAAATAATATTTATATATTCGATATTTTTTGGTTTTAAATGACATCAAAGTGAAATAAAGTCTATATTAATAAAATTAAGGAATATTGATGAAATAGGATGTAATAAATAGCTTGATAATTTTATGTAGATTTCATTTTAATTTTAAAATAAATCTCTAAATTTTGAAGCAAAAGTAATTAAATTCTAGTAAAATAGTTGATTTAAGAAGACATAGGATTAGTGAGAAAATGTAACCTAAATTATCTTAATTTTGGTAAAATACTTCAGCAATTATTATAAATGTTGCTTAAGAAATTTAGAAAGTTCACAAATAATAAATATATTAAGGATTAAATAATAGATAATAATATCATGAAAAATCAAATCCATGCCAATTCTTTATATCCACAAGGATTTTTGTTTTTATATTAAGGAGTGGTCTTCTATTTCATTGATTAAAGGAATGTTTCATATTCTTATTAAGTATTTTTCTTGTTAAAATAATCAATTTAATTCTAGTAGATACGCTAGGGATTCATTAGATAAGATTTTAAAGGTTCTTCTACTTTAAAGAGCCAAAATTCAATAAACACAATTTAATTTGGATTAACTTGTGTTCTTTTAAACATCTACCTTTATTCGACTACACATTTATATTAGGTTCCTTCATATGTATTAATTGGGGTTTCAAAAGTGCGAGCAGATTAAATGGAATTAGCTGATAAATCACACCAAATTTTGAGAGATGGTCCTAGATCAAAAATAGATGGGAGAGTCTTAGTTTCATGTAAATGATTAAGCATCATGTCTCTACTTACTCCCATTAAAGTATAAAATTATTCGTTAACAATTCTTTATGAAAGTGAACTAGAATCTTTGTTCACTTTTTGGATTGTACATTGATAAGGATAATTTTGAGCAATTTATTCGACATTAAGTAGATCTTCATTGGAAATGTATGGCTATTCAGTGAAATCATTCAATATTTAATGACGTTCTTTTACTAGTTTAGCAGCTAATTGGGCATGTGGATCTGATTAGTTAAATAACAAATTGGTTATCTAATCGATTGAATGATTGGCTTGATCAAGTAATTCGAGAGTATAAAAATAGACGTCATCCAATTGGTCGGTACGTGAGACTCTATAATTGTAAGTACATGGAGTTTCTTTTAAACCTCCTAAACAGTGGTCAGGAATGTATGAAAGAGCCAATTTAAGTTCAACATTTGATTTAATGTAGACATGTTCTTTAAATGGTTTAGGTATTGATACTAAACACACAAGTTGTTTAATTGGTTGACGTTTTCTTGTTTAGTTTTCTAAGTTTAAAATGAGACTTACTTTTTTTTTTAATATCCTTAGATAAGATAGAGTGAGTTATGGACTCATCATGCATGCCTACTCTTTATCTGACAATGAGACTCATTATTGAAAATTAAATAATTATTATATAATAATTTTGCAAATCATTCGGATATAATTGAACTTTATCATCATAATTACTTTTTTTTATGCAAATCCAAATGTAAAATTTAATTATAATATCAATGATACTAATATTAATTTAAAGTGTAATTATAATTATTATAAATGATTAATTTTATAAAAAATGACAATTAAGAGTATACATAATTAATCAATGACATAATAATACATAAAATAAAACTAAAAATAGTTGGATGATTATTTCTGAAAAAAATATAATTTTTATTGTTTGAAAATCTAATTGACAAGCATAAACTATATAAGCTAAGCTGCCACCCGTTTTCTCTTTGTTTATGAGTGACCTTGACAAACAGATTTATGAATTAATCTGATGCTTCGAATGTCACTCTCCATTAGATTAAAAGACATGAGTTTTCTATATGATGTTATATATGGTTAATTTAATATTATGGGAAAAACATTAATATTAAAATGGATCAAATTTTGTTTTGTATAAATGAGAAATGCACTTCTTAATCAAGATTATTATTAACTATGGCAGATGTACCTAAACATAATGATAAATCTCATAAAGTTGTATAATTTAAGGAGTTCAAATCATATATAATGGAAAAATATGGAGATGCAGATTTGTAGAAAATATAAAAAATCACAAGCAATGAAAAAGCTATTAAAGATGCAATTTCTAAGATAATTAAAGAAGTAAAAGAGAAGTTGGATTTGTTTGAAATTAATGAAATTAAGTATAATAGAAAGATTAACATAAATTATAGGAAAATGCCAAGTTTACAATAACTTTCAGAATATGTATGGACAGTAAGGAAAACAGAAAATCTAAAAGATATAACAAGTGATTTGTTAAAGACTGTTGTAGAATTCTAAGTAGAAAAGATTCCTAAATACGGTTTCATTTTAGAACAGATAGATGATCGTATGAATAAATTGAAAACTGAAGTTATTGGAATGTTGAAAGCTTAACAATATGATTTATAGATTACTACATTGGGTAATGTTAAATATACATGGAGTGATCAATTTAAGGCCAATATTTATGCTATAAAAGATGAAGCAAAAAAAGAGATTGAGGCAACAAGTATATAATTCTTAATATAATTAATAGCATCATTTATGGGATGGTCATTTGCATGCATTTAATAATAGTTGACATCTTAAAAAAGATGGGAAGCAAAATTAGAGATTAGAGCAAGTGAATCTGATTAAAAGAATTTATAAGCCAGTTAATTGGGATAATCCTAATTAAAAAAACAATCTTACAGTTTTGCTATTGGAATAACACTCTAAAAATTAAGACAATTAAAAGGACTTGAATAATAAGATTTAGCTACTGTAGGTCATGGCTTTTATTTAATTAGATCTGATGGATGTAATAAATATTAATATCTATATGAAAGGGACTTGTCATAATTCAGATAAAAATATTAATTGGAAATAAGGATTAGCATTCACTCCAGAACCTAAAGATGTCATACTTATTAAATTTGATCCTAGTGATGGTGATCTAGTATTTGAATAAGGCAAGAATAAATACTAAATGAAAGTGGATAGAATTTCAAATGATGTGTTTTTATTCTGTGTACACTTAAAAGGATGTAAGGCCAAGATATTGGATTGAGAGATAAACAATATATATATATATATAATATTTCAAATTTTGAAATTATGATTGAAGAGGAGGGATAATAACTTAAAAGTTAATTAGAATAACAACTTGTTGAAGCCATTTTAGATTCTCTTTAAAATCATATGGATCAAAATGCCACCTTTTTAGGTAATCATTTCTTTATTATCATCTATTCAATAGCTGAAAGATTAGTTTATGAGAGAGACACTGAAGAGTTTAGGTCTTTATTGGCTGAATGTTATTTATAAGAGAATTAGCCATATAAAGCTTGTCATATACTTAAAGACTGCAAATCTGAATACAATCGGTAAAAAAAACTAGTTAATACATTTAGTTATTAATATGCAATGTCGTTATTTCGAAATAAAAAATATAAGGAAGCTGAAGTTGCTTTAGTTGGAACTTAATTTAGTAATTAATTTTCTATTTAAACTCCAAATGTACCAAATGGAGGATTTGGTTATCTTTTGTTAGGTTAGATTTTAGAATAACTTCATCGTATTGATGAAGCTAAACATCATTATTATAGGGCATTGGATTAGAATCCAACATTATGGATGGCCTTTGAAAGACTATCTAAAATTGGTGAATCAGTCACTATTAATAAGGTTTTTAATGATCAGAAATAAAAATAATATGAAATAAATAGATAATAAAGTTGCAATATCTATAAGATAATATAAAATTTATTGAAAAATAAGTCACCAAATTTGAAATCAGGATAAAAAGAAGAAGATATTAAAGAAGAGGCTTAAATTAATGATACTGTAAATTAATACTTTATATATTAATAGTAAATTTCAAGCAAAAGATAATCCTAAACAATTAAACCATTTTCAACAACTGGTGTTTAGTAATCAATTGTTCATATGGATGATAATTCAAATAGTTAAATGAAATTCATATGTAATTTAAATTATTAATATTTTATAATAGAACATCAATAAAAAAAAATAAGTGCTAAAATGGTACCAACACCTGGAGTAGGATATTAAAATTATTAATCATTACTTAGTTAATCTTTTTAATTCTCATAAAATTAAAATAAGAATTTCAATCCAAAAAAAAGTGATATTCAAAAGGTTAATACAGCTGCTATTTAATAATCTCCAAGTTTAATCAAGTATGAATTTTCATAATTTTTTAAGTCTACCTTAACTTTTGAAATTGTTTGCCCACCCTTATAATTTATGGACAAATTATTAAATTGAAGCAATTTCTAATTTCTAAAAGTTGCCTCCATAACATTATAGATCAGGATGGGTACTTGAAAAAGTAGCTAGAAGTTTTATGGATTAAGTTAAATATGCTGATGCAGAGAGAGTTTGGAAGGAAATGAAATAAATTGAACCAAATCGTTTAGAAGGTATGGATTATTATTCATCTTGTTTATGGCATCTAAAAAAATAATCAGAATTAACATATTTAGCACATTCATGTTTGTAAATTAGTATGTAAGCACCTGAAACATGGATAGCTATTGGAAATTGTTTTAGTTTAAGTAAAGAAATAGACAATTCAATTAAATTTTTTGGAAGAGCAATTTAATTAAGAAAAGATTATTCATATGCTTATACTTTATCAGGACATGAATTCTCATAAAATGAAAATTTCTAATAAGCTAAGAAATCTTATGATATGGCCACTTCATTAGATTAGAGATAATATAATGCTTGGTGGGGATAAGGAAACATGTATTATAAGACAGATAAATATGATGATGCCATTAGATGTTTTACTTAAGCTTTGAAAATAAACTCAAATAATCCAGTTTTACCAACATTTTTGGCTATGAGTTATGCTGCCAAAGGAGAACATAATGAAGCTTTAAAATATTTTGAACAAAGTGAAAAATTAGATCCTATGAATGGATTAAATAAATATTAGAAAGTATTTATATTATAATATAATGATAGGCTAATTCATTAATAAAATTAGATGATTATGATAAGGCTTTAAGTGAATTATAGAGATTAAGAGAATTGATACCTAAAGAAGCAGCAATTTATATTTTGATGGGAAGAATCTATAAGAAATTAGGAAAGATTTAAGAAGCATAAAAGTATGAAGGATTATTTATATTGTAGTTGTTTCAGTACTGCAATTTCACTTGATTAAAAAGATTCTGCTAAGATTAAAGGACTAATGGAGAGTTTAAATAATCCTAATAGTGAATTCAACGATGATTTTGATTTATGACATGATTTATCAATAAATGTGCTCATCTACGGCAATTTAGATAAATTCTTTCTTGTAATCTCCAACTGATTCTGCTCCTGTTGCCAATTAATTAATGCGAGCAGTTCGTACTAAGAATTCTTGTAATTCTTCTTTTTCACATAATGTTTCTAATGATAGACGTCTAATCCAATCAAATCCTGAAAAGGCAATTCCTGTCAAGAACATATATTTAGGATATTGATGACATTCTAATATTTGATTGTTACTTTACTATATAGTAAGGGTTGTCTTATTACACGACTAACAGTCATTCTAATACCCATTCCAAATAGACATCCGAATATAAAAGCACTTTCCATTATATTTAATATATATTTAATATGAACTGACTGATATTATTTTAAAATTCAAATATTAAATAATGAATAGACTCAATTCATAACCTAAAACAAATAATCAAGGTCGTATGACTCCAAATGAATATATGATTCATAAGAACATTCCTTTACCAAATAAAGCTAAATATCCTCATGCAGACTCAGAGGCATATATGCATAAATCTGAGATTATTCATTAAAATAACAGTAGTAATTACTCACATAGTTCAGAAGGGAACAATCTTTAAAAAATAATTGAAGAAAAGAATAGGGAAATTGAATTTCTAAAGTAAGCAGAAGCTTAAGGCAAAATGTTAACTACTTAATTCTAAGAAATGAATTAAAATCATTAATAAGAGGTTAAATAATTGTTAGAGTAGATTCAAAATTATAAATAGAGAAATATAGATTTAAAGAGTCAAGTTGAATAATATATGACAGAACTAAATAAATCAAATTAAAAATATTAAGAATGTTATAAAGAAAGAGATGAATATCTTAAGAATTTTAGAGAATACTAATAAGATTATGATATAATAAAAATGTAATTATAAGGAAAAGATGCTGAGATTTTATAATTGAAAGAAAGAATTTAAAATATGGAAAATAATTATTAATAAGAATTAACTTAATATTCATAAACTAATGAATATTGGAAGAGATCATTAATGGATACTTAAATTAGAGAGATTACTTAATAATTTAATTAAGATAGGATGTAATATGATTTGAAAATAAAAAATTTAGATAATAGAAATGTTGAATTAGAAAATAAATGTGTATTATTAGCTTAAGAAATGGAGAGAATGCGTTTTAAAGATTTAGAATAAAATAAAATAATAACAAAAAATTTATAAAATGAAAATAATGAATTAAAAACATAAATGTTAGAAATGATGTAATTTGTATAAAGATATGAGGAAAAGATAAATTAGATGGAATATATTGAAGATTAAGAATAAAAAGATAGAATGAGAATAATTGTTTTGAGTTCTGAGATTGATAGATTACATTGTGTAATTGAAGAATAAGAATAAAAGAGTCAAATATTTTTATAATAGATATAGAATTTAGAATAATATGAAATATAATGTAAATAATTATAGGAATAATAATTATAATATAATCAGTTGTAATAATAATTATAATAAGAAGTTATTAAAAATTAAAATACATAATAAGATTTTGAATATTTATAATAGGAATGGACACATAGAAATTAAGAATTATAAGATAAATGTGCTATGTTAACAACTGAACTTGAGAGATTAAATCTAGTAATGAGAGATAATTAGAATTATAATAGAAATTATTAATATGAAATTGAAAAATTCTAAAAATAATTATAAGATTATTCTTAAATTATAGAATAAAAATCTAATATGATTTTATAATAAGAAATAGAAATAAGTAATTATTAATAAGAATCTATGTTATTGAATAGTGATAATGATAATCTTAATATGAGAATTACTTAATTGGAAGAAGAAATCTAGGAAATTAAAGATTAAACATAATAAGAAATAAAATAATAGATTGATCATTATTAAAATGAGTTGAATAGAAATATATATAATTATAATTAAGCAAATAAAGATAAATTGGAATTGTAGACATAATTAGAAATAATCAATAGAGAATACGAAACACTAATTATCACATGTAAATAAAAAGATATTGAAATTAAAGATTTACAAAATTAAATGTAATAAATGGAAGATAATTATTAAATAGAATTAAGTGAATTAAAATAATAAGGAGAATATTTAAGAAGATCTATACTTGATTAATAAATTAAAGAATTAACTTTAAAATTCAATAATGATAAATAAGTACTTGAAATTTAAATTAGATAATTATAGTAATAAAAATAGTAAGTAGATTTATAAAATTCATTGTTGTAATAAAAACTTTAAGAATTATAATAAACAATAGATGATCAATTAGAGATTTAAAAATAAAAATTATAAACAAGTGAGAAAGAAAGGATCAATTTATTATAAGAAATTAAGGATTATTAGATAGAATTGCAAATGGTATCTAATGAGAGATAATAAATGAGAGAGGATTTTGTTAAAGAAAGAATGAAAATAGTTATATATGCTACTGAAATTGATAGATTATGGAGTGTAATTGAAGATTAGACTAATTAATTAAAATAATAAGAAGAATTATCAAATGAGAATATATAATAATTAAAATTAAGTATGTAATAATACCATAATACTATATATTAAATGGAATAAGAAAAAAATAATCATATAAGAGAAAATAATTTAAAAGAATAGAGTTTAGAGAATAAAATGATTATGATAACTAATGAATTAGATAGAGCAAAAAATTAATTATATGAAGAACAAAGTAAAGGATATGAATAGGAAATAAAGTAGAAATAATTACTTTAGGAGATAGAAGAATTATATTAATAAATAGAATAATATTAATCTGAAATTACTATAATGTAAAAGAATGGATTAGAAATAAGTGATTTAGAAACAAAATTTCAAGCAGAAAAGATGTCATGGGAAACATAAAAATATTAATTAACTAATTAAATTTAAGATTATGAATAAAGAATATTATTATTAAACTAAGAGATAAAGAGATTAAATATAATTGGAGATGAGAGATTACATGAAATTGAAGAATTAAGATTCAAATTCAGAGATGCTTAATTAACTGAAAATTATGAACAATTAAAAACAGCATATGATATATTAGAATAATAAGTAATGGAATTTGAATAAAACAATTTGAAATTGAAATCTCATACATAAACTTTAGAGAAATAGATTTAATTGTTAGAATTATCATTATAAGATAAATCAAAGGAAGTTGAAGATATATATAATTTAATGAATAAATAAAGAAGACAGAGTGAATCTACTAATAAAGATGCAGAAAATAATAGAAGAATATAATAATAATTATAATAAACTATTTAAAATTTAGAATAATAGAATTAATATTTAAAAGAATAATTACAAAATGTCACAAATGAAAATTAAAGCTTGTAATATTTATTTATATATATATTTTAGATTATCATAAATTTAATATCTATAGAATAGTCTTCATGAGAGAGATTAAATGATATAAAAGATGAGTAATGAATTGACTGAAAAGATTAAAGAAATAGATTCATTAAAAATCAAATATGAACAAAAAATGAATAATCCCACTATTTAATCAACTATAATAAGAGTAAATTAATTTCTATATCTATAGAACTCTTCATTAACTAGATAAATCATTAAAACTGACTAAGAGAATTTTATTACAGAATCTATTATTAAATCAAAAAATTCTACAAATTAATTATCAATTGTAAGACCTCCAAGATAAGTGATGTCTTAAATCAATACAGATATAAATAATTAGTAAGAATGATTGAGTTTCACTTTAATTTAATATTAAAAATAATGTCTCAATATGTCTAAGCTTCAATTTAATACTCTTTTCCTAAAGATAAAAGATTTAAAAGACTACATACTCCTTGTTCAACAGACTATTATGAACCTAATTATTTTAGGAGTACCAGAGCCTCAGGATTTGGATATGGCAATAAGTTTGATTTCACTAAAGTCTAATCTTATACTGAAAGTTACTATGATCCTACTAGTTCATTTTCAAATAATAATAAAGGTGCATCCTTTGGACTTAGTAGAAACATGGTAAAAAACAGATCTTATTTGCAAAATAATAATGTTCCAGGTCCAGGATCATATTATCATAGTCCACATAAAACTACTAGTTATTCAATTGGATAGAAAGTTGATGTTTATCATAATATAACAGAAATACCTGGTCCTGGTGCATATGATCCCAATATTCATAAAAACAGAAGTATTTCTATAAACAAAGGTCCTGATAGATTCTCAACTGAATCTACATTTTTTCCAGGGCCTGGAGAATATAATACATAACTTTTATAAACAAAAACGAAATGTAGATTTGGTAGTGCCAAAAGAAAATGTTTTATTGATGATGCTGTTAGAGCAGCTAAAAAGAATGGAGGTATTAATAAATCTATATAACTTTAATAGTTCCTGGACCAGGTAACTATGCATCTATCACATAATTTGTACAATTAGATAAATAAAAGGGTAGACCATCTACTGCAAAACATTGAATTTTAATATACTTTACATAAACTTTCCTAAAAAAATGATTTAAATACTTTTTGCTACTCAGACAGGAAATTCTGAATTCTATGCTGAAGAAGTAGGTAGACATATATCGAAAGCAATTGTTTCTTCAATTGAAGACTTCGATTTCTTAACACTTCCTGAATAGAAGAGAGTGATTTTCATTATATCAACAACAGGAGATGGAGATATGACTAATGATATGATCAAATTTTGGTAGTTTCTTTTAATTAAAGATTTACCAAAAGAATCTCTAATCAAACTTGAATTCACTGTTTTTGGACTTGGAGATTCTTCATATCCAAAATTCAATTACGCAGCTAGAAAATTAAGAAGTCGACTCTTATAATTATCTGCAAAAGAATTTGTACCCAGTTCATTTGGTGATGAATAACATCCTTGTGGTATTGATACAGAATTTGTTATTTGGTTTGAGAATCTATTAAAGAAATGTGACACTCAGAACACTATTTCATAATATATAAAAATTGAATAAGATGATATTAATGGATAGTAAAATAATGTTGATTAGTTTGACTTTAAGTTTATTAATAAAAAAAGGTTGAGTGCTGAGTAGCATAGTAAGGAAACCTATTAATTTAATTTTAAATGTAATAAATTATATGAATGTGGTGATATTTTATGTATAAAACCAAGAAATTAGAATAAATTGGTTTAATAATTTTTAGAATTACTTAAATTAAATGGAAATAAATGGATTAAATTAGAAGAACTGAAATAAAATTAAAAATCAAAGAAGATTCCAAAAATTATATCTATTCATTAATTATTTTCTGAATTGTATAAAATTGATTTAATAATTTTAGTTTGGATATCACATCACCACCTAATAGATATTTTATCAAATTAATGAGCCAATTTGCAGAAAAAGACATTCATAAATAAAAATTAAGTGAAATGTGTGCTTAAACACCTGAAGGTTTAGAAGAATATTATAGTTATGTTTATAGAGAAAAGAGAAATGTTTATGAAGTTTTATATGATTTCTAACCATGTGTTATTCCATTAGAATTATTAATAGATTCTTTAAAATTAATTAGAGAGAGATAATATTCAATAAGTTCTGCTTATAATGGTGAATAAATAAGTATAACAGTTGCATTAGTATCATATACAACAGGTAAAAATAGACAAATCAAAGGATTTTGCTCAAATTATCTTGAAAATTTGTAATTTGATGAATATATAGAGGGTAAAATAATAAAAGGAACTATTGGATTTCCAAAACAATTAGAAATTCCAGTAATAATGGTTGGTCCAGGAACTGGAGTGGCTCCATTTATTGGATTTATTGAATAGAGAATAAAATAAGGAGCAAAAAATAAAGAGAAAACAATTTTATTTTTTGGATCTTGTTATGAATAAAAGGAATTTTATTATAAAGAATTCTTATAAGAATCTCCAATTACTTTATTTACAGCATTTAGTAGAGATCAATAAAGAAAAATATATGTATAACATAGAATATTGGAAAGTAGAGATTTAATTAATAAAATTGTTAAAGAAAATGTTTAGAATGTGATGTATATTTATATATTATGAATTTAGGATTATTGTAACTGGAACATCAAAAAAAATGCCAAATTAAGTTGAGTCAGTTTTTAAAGAATGTTTAGGTGAATAAATGGTTTAGGATTTAAAAAAGAGAAAACAATATTTAGTTGAGTGTTGGTGATACATACAAACTTATTAATATAAATTATTTTCACAAAACCGCAGGGTTCTTATTTAATGGTTATATCAGATCATTTCTTGGTTTAAAATAGTCAATAATGTGGTTTATAGCTCCAATTATCATTACACTTATCCAGACTACAAAAATGTATGCACAACACATTGTAAAAAGTTCAATTTCTCTACATTTAGATTTTGCTGTAAAGAAATGTTGTTTGATTCCATAAAGCATAGATATAATATCAAATATAATAACTCCTCCAAAGAAGACAAATGTATTAATTGTAATGCAAACAGCTCCAAATTTTCTAGTACATGTATCTAATAAATTACATGCACTCAAGAACTGGATTATGAATATGATTCCATATCTAAAATATTAATATAGCAATTACACAATCAAATTTCCATATAAGATAAAATGAAGAAATCCAATTCCTTCAGGATCATTACATTGAAAATCTTCTGTCACTATTTTATCAGCACAAATTGAAAAGACAAGAAATATGAAATTATTCAAATGCACTAAAGAATTTATATCTAATCTCTATGCCATTTCCATTATATTATATTTATATAATCATAGTTATGCATATTTCATCAATTTTTCCTTGTAATAGTAGTATTGATTTTAACTAACGAATAGTTAGTAATCTAACAGTGTTAATAGTTCCTATTCCAAACTGTTTAGCTCTTAAAGTGTTATCCCCCCAACTCTAGAATAGTAATCATTCTTGTAATAGTCATCATCATTGTATTTTATGCTCAAAAGTATACAAGCTAACATAAATCTATAGTTTTAATATAAATTTCAACCTATGAACACAATAACTATTTATAACAACATCTGAATTCTTCTCCTGTACTCTATCTATATAAATTAACGCCAATATGAAACACTCATTGCTGCAATAAGTGTATATCTTAATACGTTCGATATACTTGTATATAGTAATTTATGGTTTTTTATTGGTGTGAAAGACTGTTTAAATTGGACTTTCTATTATGTCTGTTTCTTAGACAATTTCATCTAAAACCTTTGCTATTGCATAAATAATATTATCTTCTAGGGATTCCTCCAATCCTCTTTCCATAACAACACTCATTTTTCCCAAAAGATATATATATGTGTATAAATTATATATATTATTTAATATTAAATTATGATATGATATTAAAACTTTGATAACAGATAATTCTGTCAAATTAATCAAATATTAAACTAGTTAAATATATGCCTTATAATTTTTAAGCTTAAGCAATCTTAATTTTGTTATATATTAGAATAATTAAAATCTTCTAAAATTCATATGCTTTAATTTATTACCAAACTTAATATTAATTACTATACTAACATCAATCATATCACATTTTGATATAATTTTATTTCTATTATATGAGATTAAGAAGCTGTATTAAAATTTTTATATTCTCAATACAAATTATAGAACCATTAAAATTATTTTATATTTTTATTTTAGATTGTTCTTTCTTATATCGTAAAGATCATTTTAATTTCAATTACATTAAATTCATTGAAGAATAAGTTTAGATTGAACTTCTAACAAATAAAATCATCTTTAAAATTGATTTTTCATTCAACTAATAATGAAAATTTTCAGTTCAGTAGAGAAATACAATTTCAAGGAACAATATTATTTATTTCTTAAATTTACCTTTAAATGGGTTGTAGATGTATGAAAGAAAAGAATAAAAAAAATGATTTGGCTAGTGAGTTTGTACCTAGTCTTATATTAAAAACAGATAATAAGGTAACTGGAATTATTGCCCTAAATTGTTCAGATAAAGATTAAAAAGATGTAAAAAGGGTTTAGATTAAATATTAGAAAAGTTTGTCTATATGATGATTATGACATTTATTTTATTTATATTGTTTATATTATACACATATTTAGTTTGAAAAATCTTTTGTAATTTTCTATTCAATTTTTAACATTTATACATATATATAAGGAAGTTTAATGAATCAATTAATTTTTAGAGATAAAATGCCTTAAAATGGATTCTTGAAGTTAAAATAAACTGAATGATAATGTAACAAATTATGTTTTATTTCTAAATCCTGATTTTCTAATTCCATTAATTAAAGTTAATCTTTTATTGGCATAATATCATCATTAATTATAAATGCATCAAAAGTTGAAAGTTTGTTTTATTTCTTTTAAGATTATACACTTGAATCAGAATTTAAAAAATCAACTTATACACTTTAATGACTTCCAAAAGAGTGTTACATACTACTTGATTGTTGACTATTGAAACAGGAAGAGGCATTTGAGTCAACATGAAAAGTAATTGTATGAAGATGTCTTGAACTCATTTTGTCAGCAGATCTACAATATGTTAAATAAAATACAGTTTTATATGCTGGACACTATCATATTTATTTTATTTCTAATTATTATTATTATTTTTTTTATCTTAAATAGTTTTCGAATTAACAAATTAAGTATTTGACCAATCAAAGATCATATATTATTTATGATTCATTTTCAACTAAAAAATAGACTTTAGTTTTTAATAATTTGGAATTTATTGATGATTTAATTATGCTACTTAAGTCATATAACTAAATTTTTATTTTTATTTTTACTTTAATAATTATTAAGGACAACCTTCACAAAGTTCTTATGGTTTTATTTCATATTTTAATTAACCAATTCTTTCTAAACGATCATTTTCACTTTTCTCATAATTAGACCATGGTAATTTCTGTTTTAGAAGATATATCAAAACATAACCTAAAGATTCTAAATCATCTCTTTTAGATTACTCTAAACCTCTATGAGCAGTTACACTAGCATATCTACTGGTTCCAATAAATGGAATTTTGGCTTTACTTTATTTCTTACTTTTTACAAAATCTTTTGCAATTCCAAAATCAATTAAATAAATTTAGTCTGAATGACTTTTACCCAATATATTTTCTGGTTTTAAATCTCTATGAATTATATTCCTTAAAAATAACCTTATTAATATACTTTTTATGAATATTTTCTAAAATTTCTATCATTTATTAAGCAATGTTAAAAATGCATTCAATTGAAAATTTCTTATTTTTTTTCAAGAAATAAATTAAATCAAATCCAAGCATCTTAGTTATCATTATTTAAAGCTCCTTATATTTTCCATGCCATAGCAATTAGGGTACTTATGGAATACCTCTTAATTTCTTCAAAATTTCTACCTATCAATAATTTTTCAACTAACCTCTCTCTCTAAACTTAAGAAATTCTACATTTCTTATTTTTCAACTTTAATTGCCACTTTCATTCCACTTTCTATATTTTTCCCTATATACACTTTACCAAAGGAACCTTAAGATAGAAGTTTCTTAACTTTGTAAATATCCCCTATCATATCACCTTGTTGCAATTCGTACATTACAATATTTTCAAAAATTAATATTATTATATATTATATAAAGTGTCCTTTAATGAAATGAAATTAATAAAATAATTAAAAAATCAAAATGATGGCTTAAATTAATATCAAATATAGACTTATTTAATTAATCATATTATTATAATTATGATTTATAAGATATCAAAAATTATGTTAATATCACAATAAGATTGACAAAATTAATTAAGTTTTAGTTTTGGTTTGAATTTACTTAAAATTTTTATTAATGTTATATTATTTATCCTCTATTTCATTTCCAAATACAGAAAAATAAAATTATTCAAACATCAGATATTTAATAGAATAAATCAAATTTGAGTGGATGCAGAAAGAATTTATGAATTAGTAAATACTTACTAAATGAAATTTATTAAAAAATATATTAATTATTTTATTAAGTAATAAAAGATCTAAATAAAAAAATAATTCATTAGAATAACCAAAAACTAATGAGTATATTTTAATCAATATATCAGAATAATATTTAATAAACACACTTTTAATTTTTTGAATTACTCTAATAGAATATTATTATTAAATGAATTCATATAATTATTTAAAAAATATCTAAGTCTTTAATAACATTCCTATTATTTATTAAAAAAATTGTAAGAATTATTTATATTTAATAATAATCAACTAAATAAATTTGATAACCCATTAAGAATGAATTATAATAAGTCTTCATCAAAAGAAGTAAACCCTCTAAATAAAAACTCATCGCAAGGTGTTGTAATCAATTCTAAATAAAATTCTAGTTGATTTAATAATACTGCTTTAAATCCAAATTTACTTTCAGTAATCAATTCTTCATTCTCTTATTCCCAATTATTCAATAACACTCCTTTTTAGCTAAATTATTTTAATTCCTCATTACAAACAGTAGGAAGTAATTAAGTTTTGTATACCTTTCCCAAAAACTATTATTTAATAGTTTTAAAAGAGTGAGGTTCTATTGAATAAAATTTTAATGATGTTAAAATAAAGTTTGGTAAATATAAAATAAAATTTTCAAAACTAATAACATTAATAAATAAAAATACTTAATTGAAAAAGATAATTGAGTTTATAAGTGATCTTTTATTTTAGCTTCTCTAATAAATTCATACAATATTTATTATTATGATTATAATAAAACACTCTTTAAATCCTTATTTACCCATACATTTTTATTATGATTGATAATTTATACCTAAACAGGCTTTAGTTCTTTATTTTTAATACTTAAAGTAGTAGATATATATTCTTATTGATTATTTCCATATAAAATTTATTATCTTGATTTAATTTCAACTTTATTTGATTAAAATAAGATTGCTAATTAATTTATACTTGCTTTCTTAAAATTAATAATATTAGTGCTATTTAATTAAAGTTAAAATTAATTTCTATTAATTTAAATACCTCTGAATTATTTTTTACCATTTACTCTATAATATTCTGATGCAGTTTTATGAGGATAAATGAGTTATGAAACATCTCTAGATTAATTTGATTTTGTGATTTGAGATTATGGTTTTATATATAAAGCTTAAGATTAAAGATCAGGGTCCTTAAAATTATAAAATGCAAAATTCTAATTTTAATAGTCATCCTAATAATCAATTTCTCTATTAACACTATCAACATTTCTACTTTAATTTGCTGATTATAAATTATTATATTCAATAGATAATTATCTTAATTTTTGATTCTCTTATTTTAATAAAAAATATTTGCTATCTAAATCATCATACTTTTTCTTTAAATTCATAAAATCTAATTAATTACAAGCCTAACTACTTTTCTATTAATATACTTTTTGTTATTCCAATAACAAATTTCTTTCTACTCTTAAATTCTCAAGTTCTTCTTACAAATTTTAAAATCCAATTTAAGATTCAATAGGTATTTCTTATTATTATTATCCTACTCTTACTTAAGATGAAATAATTTATTATTTTGATTATTCAAGTAATATTTAATAATGCTAAATTTATTATTGCAACTCTTATAAATTATCTTAATAATATTGATAGTCATCTTATTGTTTTTATTTTAATGACTTAATTTCTAATTAAAGTTTTTGATTTTCAGTTTACTTTTGATTGTTTTCATTACTTAATCTTTCATTTATTTGTACTTGATGTTACAACTCTGATCTCATATTTGCAATTACATTTTCATTTTAATTTATAATTTATTTCAAATTTTCAATCATAAATTTATCTTCATTCTTTTCTAAATAAATTTGTGATTACTTTTATTTTTGATCATTTTCATAATTGATAATTTATTAAGGTGGCTTTTGAATTTTTGATGCTTATTGATTTTAAATAGAAGGAACTTCTTATTGAAATTGTGATTTAGTATTCTTTAAATATTACTATCTTAATTATTAATAACTAAGATTTCCTCCTTGATAATCTTGATATGACATTATAAAATCCTCTACAAATTCATTTTAAACATCTAAAAGCAATAAATCTTCCACTTAAGCATTAATTGTTGCTAATTCATTAATAACTGCATTATTTTCATCCTTATTGATATTAAGTAAATTTATTAGTTATTATTGAAGTTCTTAAGCTTTCATTTAAATTTATTATGTTTCATCTAAAGGAGTAGGAGTTGCTTATACTTTAGGTATATGCTTCTCAATTTCTTCTGGCTTAAAGTAATTAATTTAGGGTAAATATCCATTTTCTTTGATTAAATTTTTTTCATAAATAGCAAATTCCGGAAACCATTTAGACCATACTTGTATGCAATCCAATGCTAAACGATGATAACTTGCTCCATATTATTCAATAGTCTTATCATGTTCTGGGTTTTTGAAATAGGTGGCTCCTCTTGTATCATCTATATCTTTAATTCTGTATATAGCAACTTAATAGATATAATCCATTAAATGTTATTTGACTTTGAATTTAAAATTATCATTAAATTTTTCCATACAATCTTTAACTATCTTTAATCCAAAAAGACATTCCTTTGGAGGGTATTTTTCATTCATAATCTTTTTCATTGCTTATATCAATTAATCCATTGTTTATCTAAATGTTAATATTATTATTACTCATCATTCAATTCAATTAACTCTTCTAATTCTTTTCTGAATTTCTTATCACTTAATTATGATATAAATTGTTCCATAATAAAAATTTATTTTAATTTTAAGAAGCATTAATTAGATATAGAAATATGAATAGCTATATACTCAAATCTATTCATAAGATCAATATAAAAGGAGTAAGATATGATAAATAATATTATAATTGATATTCAATTTTTCCCTTTAAATTATTCTAGAATATATAATTATTAGTTTACAATCTTCACTTTGCATTTAGGAACCTGATTGAGAAGCCATTTTGGACATTTTTGATGTTACAAAAATAGAAGTTGTATTCTTAAAATCTTTATCAATTCTTTATAATTCTTAAAGTTATTTTCCTTCTAATTCTTTTTTTACATTATTGTATTTTTAAATTAATCTATTATTAAATAAAAAATCTACTTTTCTTCTTCTGCTTTTTTAATTTTTCTTTATTCATCTTATGCATTTTCAATTCTTTAATTTAATACATTAGTTTCATTATTTTATTTTATCTTTTATTAAGAAAGGAGATTCTTAATTTTATTGTTTCTCATTAAAGTCCATTTCTCTTATTCTTCTTTCTAAAGCTATGCTATTCTAGATTATATTTTATGTGCTTCCAAATATCTAAGATAAATATAAATATATTACTCTTCTTATCTTGCTAATTATTCTTCAGTCTTTTTAAGACTCAATAATTCTGCAGAATCTTTTGGAGTTTATGGAATAGAACCTTCTAAATCTTATAGGAATTACTGCATTTCATCTTCTTATTTTTGTTATAATTCATTTTTAAGTTTTTAAGCATCTTATTCAAATTCTTATATTTTTTCATCCCAAAAAGCATTAAAATTTTACATTTCTTCTTAATGTGATTTAGTTAGTTCATATTTCTAAAATATATGAATTATAAATTCACTTCTTATTCATGTCTGTCTCTTATATCTAATTTAGTTTTGGATTCGTATTTAATTTTAAGTTCTTTCAATCTTTATTTTGCACAATCAGCTTCCAAATATTTACCTGCTCTCTCACAAGCTTTTTAATGATCAAAAAGTATTTTCCTATACATAATTTCAAATAATTTACATATACTCTTCAAGATTTTCTGTCTCTGGAGGTAATGTATTCATTTTTGCAGTAGATGGTCTAACTCCGCGATAATTATACATTTTGGAACAATAAAAATTTTATTTAATGTTATGATTAAAATAATAAAAATTTATATATTTAAATCAAATAATATTAATAATGTAAAAGTTTAATGGAGTTCGATCATTAGTGAATCTAACTAAATTCAGAGCAAGTGATCATCATCTAAAAGCTACTCATCATCAACCAAATAGACCAGATTTAATGACTAAAGTTGATATTGATAAATATAGAGTCTTTATTAACATGCATCCAGAAGCAAGAGAAAGATTTTTTGCTACTTACACATGGTTACCCAAAATCACACCGTATTTCATTATTCAATTATTTAATTTAGACTATATAATTCAACTATTGCCAAATATATTGCAACTTCATTCTCAAGTGTATAAGCTGAAGCTGTTTCTGATGTCTATTTCCCACCTAAAGTAATACATTAATTCAATCTCTTTAGCTTCATGAAAATGGCATTAATATTTATACCTCATATAGATTTGGAAAAGCCTTTAGATATGGCAGATCTTTAGAAATTGTAGGAGGAATCTTCTTCTTAACTACTAAATATCCCATCTATTATGCTCTTGTTGCCCTTTTTGGCTACACTGTAGGATTCAATGTACAAACTAATTATAAATATTAGGCCTACTTCTATGAACTCACAAGAAGAACAGTTATCAGAATGGATTTATTACCTCATACACATTAAATTGTATGTCAAAAAGTTGGTGCCTTTGGATAAGTGATCACTAAATTGCATCAAATATCTGATTTGGAACATGTTAATTTTTCAGAACAAGAAACAAAAGGTAATTTTTATTCATATTATTATTAAATTAGAGAATTACTTTTGGAATCTCCATTACCATAAATTAGATAGAAATCTAATCTTCAAAGATAAATCAACTGGAGAATATCTCACTTTTGACAGTGAAGGATGGTGGGATAGATAAGCCTTAGAGCATGAATTGCTTAATTGATTATGATCAACAATACAATAATTCAATAAAAAAATTATATATCACCAAATCCAATCGATTTAATCTAATCATTTTTTATATAGATTTGATAAATAATTATATATATAGTATTTTTTTATTGTTAGAATTAAAAAAATTATAAGGATATTTCTTATAAATAACATTCATGTAATTGTATTAATATTCAATTTTTGAAAGTGGATACTTCATTATTTACAATTATAATTTCAATCCATCATTTTTCATATTAAATCTATTAAGTTTGATGATTTTTATATATTCTTTAATATAAAGCAATTCTTTAAAATTTCTATTAATAAATTATTCAGATTTTATTACTATCTAGATTATACTATATTAAAAATACTTGTATATATATACATATATAATAATAATCAAAAAGTATATGATTTCACGTAATTTAAAATTCTCTCAATTTCCTTATATATTACTATAAATTCGGTTANGCTACTCATCATCAACCAAATAGACCAGATTTAATGACTAAAGTTGATATTGATAAATATAGAGTCTTTATTAACATGCATCCAGAAGCAAGAGAAAGATTTTTTGCTACTTACACATGGTTACCCAAAATCACACCGTATTTCATTATTCAATTATTTAATTTAGACTATATAATTCAACTATTGCCAAATATATTGCAACTTCATTCTCAAGTGTATAAGCTGAAGCTGTTTCTGATGTCTATTTCCCACCTAAAGTAATACATTAATTCAATCTCTTTAGCTTCATGAAAATGGCATTAATATTTATACCTCATATAGATTTGGAAAAGCCTTTAGATATGGCAGATCTTTAGAAATTGTAGGAGGAATCTTCTTCTTAACTACTAAATATCCCATCTATTATGCTCTTGTTGCCCTTTTTGGCTACACTGTAGGATTCAATGTACAAACTAATTATAAATATTAGGCCTACTTCTATGAACTCACAAGAAGAACAGTTATCAGAATGGATTTATTACCTCATACACATTAAATTGTATGTCAAAAAGTTGGTGCCTTTGGATAAGTGATCACTAAATTGCATCAAATATCTGATTTGGAACATGTTAATTTTTCAGAACAAGAAACAAAAGGTAATTTTTATTCATATTATTATTAAATTAGAGAATTACTTTTGGAATCTCCATTACCATAAATTAGATAGAAATCTAATCTTCAAAGATAAATCAACTGGAGAATATCTCACTTTTGACAGTGAAGGATGGTGGGATAGATAAGCCTTAGAGCATGAATTGCTTAATTGATTATGATCAACAATACAATAATTCAATAAAAAAATTATATATCACCAAATCCAATCGATTTAATCTAATCATTTTTTATATAGATTTGATAAATAATTATATATATAGTATTTTTTTATTGTTAGAATTAAAAAAATTATAAGGATATTTCTTATAAATAACATTCATGTAATTGTATTAATATTCAATTTTTGAAAGTGGATACTTCATTATTTACAATTATAATTTCAATCCATCATTTTTCATATTAAATCTATTAAGTTTGATGATTTTTATATATTCTTTAATATAAAGCAATTCTTTAAAATTTCTATTAATAAATTATTCAGATTTTATTACTATCTAGATTATACTATATTAAAAATACTTGTATATATATACATATATAATAATAATCAAAAAGTATATGATTTCACGTAATTTAAAATTCTCTCAATTTCCTTATATATTACTATAAATTCGGTTATAATTAAGTAAATTAAGAATGATTATAATATTTCTTAGGTTAAATTTTTTTATTTTCAAACATCTTAAAAGAATATTAGATTTTTATTATGAATTTACTAATTCAAATCAAATTTAACAAATGGGTTTTGATTATAACAACTTAAATATTCAATTCATTAATGTCTATTATTATTAATAGATTATTTATGAATTGTATTCTTATTTTTAAATTTGATTTATGAGGCTAGGGGTATTCTATTTTATTATATAAGGCTCTTTCAATATTAATATATATACACATTGATATAAAATCTTAATTTATTATTTAAATTAAATGTCTGAAGAGCAGAGCAAGTAACGATTTGCGTATACGGCACCAAAACAAATTTTAGAAGAAGCTGCACAAATTGGTGAAGACAATTAAACAAGAAAGTAAAATTTAGACAAAGTTGAAGAAAAGTTCAAGTACAAGCAAAAGAACCGCTAGTTGAGTCCAGAAAGAAAAGATGTTTTCAATGATTAAGGAGGTGAGAATGGGAGAACATATGCAGAAATCATGATCTAATAGGACTTGGAGAATTCCAGATCTGAAATTGAAAATAAAATCAAAAAGACAGAAACATTAAATAAAGAGGAAAAAAAATTAGTCAAATAATAAGTGAAGGTGGAATAAAATGTTGCTTAATAAATAAAATAGGAGAAATCAGAATGGGAATAAGAAAGCAAAGATGTTTCTAAAAAGCCTTAAAAATGGGAAACCCCATCAAGAGGTATTTTTAAATAGTTCATTAATATTTAGATGGTCCATAATCCTCTGCAAGAGCCTCCAGATGGGATAATACTAATAAATTATAAGCAACTCCAGGTCGAGCAGGAACAGTATTTGGAGAAACACCAACACCAGGGCATATGGAAATTGGTGATACCCCATATAAATATGGAGAAACCCCCACTCCTAATCGTTCTTATATTAAAGCCAGATGGGGAGAAAGAACACCGTTAGCAGGTCAATCCGGATTTGGAGGAGGTATGACACCTCATACACCAGGAACTGTGATGAGGACACCTATGACTCCAGGATAATTAGGAAATATGACTCCTGATAGAGTATATTAATTCAGATTGGAAAAAGAAATGGAAGAGAGAAATAAATATATGACAGATGAGGAATTAAATAGTATTTTACCAGGTCCAAAGGATGGTTATGAAGTAATGATAAATAAATAAAATAGATATTAAAAGCACCTGAAAATTATAAACCATTGAAATCATCATTAAAGAAATTACTAAATGCAAAAAATAGTATTGAATCTCCTGTTCAATATCAAATACCAGAATCTATTCGTATAGAAGTTTCAGCTACTCCATCTCATCCTACTATAGGTCAATTACCAGCAATTAAACCAGAAGAATATAATTTATTCTCAGCTTTATTACAACCAATTAATGAAGATGAATTGACTCCAGAATAAGCAAAAGAAAGAAAAATTATGGCTTTACTTTTGAAAATAAAAAATGGAACACCTTAAATGAGAAAGTCTGCTTTAAGACAAATCACTTAAAGTGCAAGAGAATTTGGACCTGCTCCATTATTCAATTAGATCTTACCATTGTTAATGTCTCCCACATTAGAAGATTAAGAGAGACATCTATTGGTAAAAGTAATAGATAGAGTTCTATTTAAATTGGATGATTTGGTTAGGCCATATGTACATAAGATATTAGTTGTTATTTAACCATTGTTAATTCATGAAGATTACTATGCTAGAGTAGAAGCAAGAGAAATCATATCCAATTTAGCTAAAGCAGCTGGTTTAGCAACTATGATTACTACAATGAGACCAGATATAGATCATAATGATGATTACGTCCGAAATACAACTGCCAGAGCATTTGCTATTGTGGCTTCAGCTTTGGGTATTCCAGCATTGTTGCCATTTTTAAAAGCTGTTTGCTAGAGTAGAAAAAGCTGGTAGGCAAGACATACTGGTATTAAAATAGTACAATAAATCAGTATTTTTATGGGTTGTGCTATTTTGCCTCATCTGAAATCACTAGTTGAAATTATATAACATGGATTAAAAGATGAATAATAAAAAGTAAAAACAATTACAGCTTTAGCATTAGCTGCTTTGGCGGAAGCCTCCTTTCCATATGGTATTGAAGCATTTGATAATGTGCTTATTCCTTTATGGGAGGGCATTAAAACTCATAAGGGTAAAGGATTAGCAGCATTTTTAAAAGCGATAGGATTCATTATTCCATTAATGGATGTAGAACATGCAACAGAGTATGTTAAAGCAATCGTTCCTATATTGAAAAACTAATTTGAAATATAGGAAGAAGAAATGAAGAAAATTGTATTGATGGTAATAAAATAATGCATATAATGTGCAGGTATAGAGGCTGTTTATGTAAGAGATCAAATAATGCCTGAATTTTTCAAATATTATTGGAGTAAAAGAACAGCCACAGATAGAAGAAATTATAGATAAATGGTTGAAACTACATGTGAAATAGCTGCTAAAGTAGGAGCAGCAGAAATTTTAGAAAAAATTGTAGGTGATTTAAAAGATGAAAATGAATCATTTAGAAAAATGGTTGTAGAAACAATAGAAAAATTCATAAATTAATTAGGAGTATCAGATATAGATTAAAAATTGGAAAATAGATTAATGGATGGTGTATTATGGGCATTTAATGAATAATAAAGTGAAGATACATAAACAATGCTTAGTGGATTTGGATCTATTATTAATGCATTTGGCAGTAGATCTAAACCTTATTTCAGTTAATTAGGTGGTGTTTTATAATGGAGATTATCTAATAAATCACCAAGAGTTAGATAATAAGCAGCTGATTTAATTGGTAAAATAGCAGTATGCATGAAAAATTGTTAAGAAGAAGCAAGATTAGGAAGATTAGGCTAATTATTATTTGAATGTCTAGGTGAGGAATATCCAGAAGTTTTGGGATCTATCTTAGGAGGATTAAAGGCAATAGTCAATGTAATAGGAATGAATAAGATGTCACCTCCTATTAAAGATTTATTACCAAGATTAACACCCATCTTAAAGAATAGACATGAAAAGGTTTAAGAAAATTGCATTGATTTAGTTGGTAGAATTGCAGATAGAGGACCAGAACATGTTTCTCCTAAAGAATGGATTAGAATATGTTTTGATTTGTTGGATTTATTGAAAGCTCATAAAAAAGGAATAAGAAGAGCAACTATAAATACATTTGGTTATATTGCCAAAGCTATAGGACCATAAGATGTTTTATCTACTCTTTTAAATAATCTTAAAGTTTAAGAAAGATAACTTCGTGTTTGTACAACTGTAGCAATTGCAATTGTGGCAGAAACATGTGGTCCTTTTACTGTTTTACCTGCTTTAATGAATGAATATAGAGTTAGAGAATTAAATGTTCAAAATGGTGTTTTAAAATCATTATCATTTATGTTTGAATATATAGGTCCAACAGCATATTCTTATATTAATTCAGTTATTCCATTATTAATTGATGCCTTGACTGATAGGGATCTTGTTCATAGATAAACTGCTTCTTCAGCTGTTAAACATTTAGCTCTTGGTGTATAATGTTTAGGATGTGAAGAATAACTTATGCATTTATTGAATCATGTTTGGCCAAATATTTTTGAAACATCACCACATGTTATTAATGCTGTTATGGAAGCAATAGAAGGGATGAGAGTCAGTCTAGGACCAGGAAATATTTTACTTTATGCATTATAAGGCCTTTATCATCCTGCAAGAAGAGTAATATTATATAATTAATTATTAGGTGAGATTAATATATTGGAGAATTTATAACATGATATATGTTGGCAGTTCTGATGCTTGTGTTGCATTCTACCCAACCTTTCCTAATGATCAGTATAATTCTTATGAAAAATACGAATTAAATCTAACATTATGAGTGTTGAAAATATTTGAAATAATATATATAAATTATCATAACATATTATACTTAATATTATTTATAATCAAATAATGAATATATAATATTGGCTATTATTAGATAGTAAATATACAATAGTTGACATTTATAGTCTAAATTTATAATGTTTTTTAATGTTTTGGAATAAAATTATATTAGAAACAGAATACAGTTTTATAAACTTAACATTAATATTATACTTATTTATGTTAAAATCCATATTAATCTAACTTTTTAACAAAAAAATATAAAAAATAAATTTTTATCTATTATCTTCTTGACAATATTCTAAAGAATTGAATATTATGAATTAGGTTTTTTATTAGGTAAGCTTAGAATTAAAATAATGAAGTAATTCTATTTGTCTAATATTTTTGTATGTCTAATCAATTTCCTTTTTATAAAGAAATCGAAACTTAAAAATAAGGTTTTATGTTAACAGAACAATTTAAATATTTTGTATTATATTTATATAAAAATATATATATAATTATATTCAACAAAATTTTATGTATGCATTCTTGCAAAGTGTTAAATTGAACAAGATGCATTTTCATAGGATTCAATTCTAACATAGGATTTCATATAAAAAATTATTTCTAAAATTGAATAGATACATTTAATTATAATTTATTTAATAAAAATTTAGTTAGCTTTTTAAAAACTATGAATTTTAATTAAAAAAATTCTTTATTTATCACTGAACGTTTTTAAATATTGGCAAAAATGCTTTAGAAATAAGGTAATCAAATTCTAAATAGTATGGGCTTTTGAATAGTGTAGTAATTATATTAACTCTATTATTTTAATAAATATTGAACTTTTTTTAATTTAATANTTCAGCTGTTAAACATTTAGCTCTTGGTGTATAATGTTTAGGATGTGAAGAATAACTTATGCATTTATTGAATCATGTTTGGCCAAATATTTTTGAAACATCACCACATGTTATTAATGCTGTTATGGAAGCAATAGAAGGGATGAGAGTCAGTCTAGGACCAGGAAATATTTTACTTTATGCATTATAAGGCCTTTATCATCCTGCAAGAAGAGTAATATTATATAATTAATTATTAGGTGAGATTAATATATTGGAGAATTTATAACATGATATATGTTGGCAGTTCTGATGCTTGTGTTGCATTCTACCCAACCTTTCCTAATGATCAGTATAATTCTTATGAAAAATACGAATTAAATCTAACATTATGAGTGTTGAAAATATTTGAAATAATATATATAAATTATCATAACATATTATACTTAATATTATTTATAATCAAATAATGAATATATAATATTGGCTATTATTAGATAGTAAATATACAATAGTTGACATTTATAGTCTAAATTTATAATGTTTTTTAATGTTTTGGAATAAAATTATATTAGAAACAGAATACAGTTTTATAAACTTAACATTAATATTATACTTATTTATGTTAAAATCCATATTAATCTAACTTTTTAACAAAAAAATATAAAAAATAAATTTTTATCTATTATCTTCTTGACAATATTCTAAAGAATTGAATATTATGAATTAGGTTTTTTATTAGGTAAGCTTAGAATTAAAATAATGAAGTAATTCTATTTGTCTAATATTTTTGTATGTCTAATCAATTTCCTTTTTATAAAGAAATCGAAACTTAAAAATAAGGTTTTATGTTAACAGAACAATTTAAATATTTTGTATTATATTTATATAAAAATATATATATAATTATATTCAACAAAATTTTATGTATGCATTCTTGCAAAGTGTTAAATTGAACAAGATGCATTTTCATAGGATTCAATTCTAACATAGGATTTCATATAAAAAATTATTTCTAAAATTGAATAGATACATTTAATTATAATTTATTTAATAAAAATTTAGTTAGCTTTTTAAAAACTATGAATTTTAATTAAAAAAATTCTTTATTTATCACTGAACGTTTTTAAATATTGGCAAAAATGCTTTAGAAATAAGGTAATCAAATTCTAAATAGTATGGGCTTTTGAATAGTGTAGTAATTATATTAACTCTATTATTTTAATAAATATTGAACTTTTTTTAATTTAATATAGAAAATTCATATTTATCACACCTAAGAGTTAAAAATGCCTATTCATTTCTTTTTAAAATATTTATGTGTAATGATATTTATATTATTAAAGACTCATTTGCTTAAATACTGGACATAGTACATGAAATAATTATAAATTCTTTACAACAAAGAAATTTAATAATTAGAAAAAAGAGGTGTATGTTTGGATTTGGCATATCTATCTTAAGTTAGATTTTTGATTATGTATTTCTCTAAAATTTTAGATATTTAAATTTTAGTCAACATATTTAGGTCTGCTATAATACTAATTAGTTTGTATGAATTTCCATAGTTAATATTTAATGTAAAGGAAGATGAAAATTATACTTTATTAGGTAATTTGGATAGCAACCAACCCTTTTATTAAAGAATTTATGGAAAAATTAAACTAGAAAAGACACACAGTATGGATGATTGAGTTAAAAACCTATGATTATTTTCATTGAAGATAGAAATCAAAATAGTTAGTTTTAGTAATATTATATTACCTAATTTATTTTTAAGGATAGACAGTCCTATAATGTATTGTTATGGTATATTTGAAGTAAGAAACTTATAATTTGATAATGTAATATTCTTCTTGAGTATTTTTAAAAAGAAAATAATAAAGTTATTGTATGAGAAAATTTGAAAATATCTTAACCATTAATAATAATCTCAGACTATAATTAAGATAAAAATACAACAATGTTAATAAAAAATATATATATAAAATCAATTAAAATGATTTAAATTATCTTATTGAAGTTGACCAATATTTATAAAGCAATTAATCTTAACAAATCTTAATTATATTTAATTTTATGATTTAAGTAAAAGAACATCTACCCCAAGAATGGTTCGATTTTATCGAATAGATCAAAATTTTGAATCCCATTGACTATCAAACAATCAAATAATTTGTAAAAGTTCGAGTCAGCCAATTTCCTTCTGATTAATAAATGAGAGAGTATTATGAAGAAGTTTTTTCAAAGTATTGCCATCATTCTACTATAATTAGATCGACTAATGATTCCAATAGAAAGAAGTGGCATCAATAAGACAAAAATTTGCTTATTTGGTGCATGACTAAATACTTAATGTCTTAGAATAGATCTGACCTTATTCCTGTAATAGTTTTTATTTATTGTTAGAATGATAGAGATTGGGAGTATATATCAAAAATACTGTGTGTAGATAAGTAATTGATTGAATTAAAATGGATATCCTTGCTTCATTCCAATCTAAAAATCTCGACATGGACCAAAGAAGAGGATCAAATTTTGACAGATATTGCAAGGTAAGATTTTTATATATTTAAGTTAATATTATTCAAAAAATAATTGGACAGAATTAACCATTAAGTTTAATTAATTGTCCTAGACTTAGAGATATCCTAAATAAATAAGAGAGAGATGGAATAATGTGTTGAATCCAAATATTTCTAAGTAAACTTGGAATAAAGAAGAGAAAATTAAGCTCATTTAATTGATTTTAGATTATGGTAAAAAATGGTCTAAAATACAGAATTTAATGAATAATAGAAGTGAAAATTAAATCAAAAATCAATATAATGGAATCATTAGAAATTTAAAAAGATTTAATGTATTATTTTGTTTTTTAAATTAAGGTGTAATAAACTGAAGAAAGATCCTTACTCAAAGCAATTATTGAGAATCCAGATCAAAAACTAAGTTTGACAGTTACTTAATTTATGTCTGATTTCTTGGCCAGAAAAGAAGCATCAAAAAGAATAGATACACCATTGTTAAATAATAGAAAAGTTGAAGGTTCAAGCGTTAACAAAACTAAAGTTGAATTATTCCCTCTTGACAATCTCATTAGTGTTTCAAGTAATATCATTTATTTATTATAGATATATCATAAATTGAAAAATCTAAAATAAGTCAGGAATCTTAAAATCAAATGCCTTAGACTTAAAATTTATTTCATCAGTAAAATTGTAATTTCTCCTTACCTTAAATATAACCACAATAAATGTATTATAGAAACTAATACTCTATGTCCAGTTTACATAATTCCTATATGAATTATGCTCCAACTAATTAGGTTTATCAAAATTATTATTAATTTCCTATGAATTTAGGATTTTAATAATATCAAGGATATTTCTGAATTTGTTGAAGCATAAGTGAGCAAAATATTGATATATATATTGAATAATATATTATAATATAAATTATAATTTAAATATGTTATATATTTAATATGAGTAGGATTAATGAAATTTACAATTATTAACAATTTTTTATTAATTCAATTCATTTTTAAAATAACAAAGGACATGTTTATAAAATAATTTAAATTCAAATTCAAGGGTCATTATAATAATTAAAATTATAAATTGTTGTTTTATTTAATAATACTTTTATATTAGTATTTAAATATAAATTTAATAATATATATTAAAATCATAAACTAAATCTAGGTAATAGACTACAACTGAAAATAGTATCTTATGTTACTCAAATTATTCTTTTTTATTTAACTGAAAAATATAATATTTATTAAAATCGATTTTTTAAAAACATCATTTTAATCACTGATAATTTAAAAATACTTAAGGCTATTTTGCTATCTCACATACATTTTATAACAAAAAGCCTTATAATTAATATTAAAAAATTCAGAAATACAAAAATAATTTATTAAAATTTTTCACAAAATTTATAAGAAAGATGATGTCATAATTTTCTATAATAATGAATCTAATTTTAATTTAGATGTTAAAATATATTAATAATGATGGCTTTTATTGTCATTTCAAAAGGATAAGAAAATTTTTTATATTTGTAAATTAATATTCTTTTATAAAAATTAAATTATTAAAATATGATTATTGTTTTGAATTCCAAATGATGAATAATCTCTATGGAATTACAAATTCTTGTGTGAGACAGAGAGTATTAAAAGTTAATTCTTTTTATATATATTTAAACTTGAATTAAAATTAAGTTATATTTATACGAGATTTATATAGAATAGACATATATATTCAAATAGAATGATGATTAAAATAAGTGAACAGATCTTAAATGATTTAGAAAGCAAATGGTCTGATTCTATTAATGCTGTTATGCAAATATTCAGGAGTTATATTAGCTTAGTATGCAATTAACTTGATATTGATACCACCTTATTTTAGATATATGATATCAGTGGCTATTTTTACTGCAATAGCATTTTAAAGAGATTTTGGTAATTTTTAAACGAGAGGCTGTATTTATCTCAAAAGTGTAACACAAACAGTAGTAGCTTTTGAATCTATTTTAAGTTTCTGACAAAGAGTTGTAATCAAAGAGGAATATTGTTATTAAATACATTTAGCCAAGTATAGGAGCTTTTCATCAGTTTCAGGCACCTCATATTGTAACTCATTCATGGCACAATAGACCAAAGCTTATGCATGCATATATGAATTTGGAATGGATAAAACATTAAAAATGGAGATTGATTTTTTTTCTACTTCATCATTAAGATTCATTTTGAAAACAATGTCTGAAATCAATTCATACATATCTTAATTTCTTTTAGGAGTATTGCATTCTTCATGAAATTTAGGGACAGGAGGTCTTTTGAACATGTTTATTTAATTAATTGAGTTAATATTCAGTTTTAATAACCAGTTTATTTGATTCTATTAGTATAAATAAATTTGAATTGATTAATATAATATATTTAATATGATGTCATAAAAATACATTCCAAACAATAACAACACCATCTTATGCACCTGAAATAACTTATTTTCCATCTGGAGCAAATTATACAGTATTGACTGGTCCAGAATGTCCAAATCCTTCTGATATTTATTATCCAGTTTATAAATCCCATAATTTAACAGAACAATTAGATCCTCCTGTAACAGCATATTTAAAATTAGGTGAAAGACAAATTGAATAACATTCATCACCTAAAATTATAATAAAATCTAACCTTTTTTTGGATTTCCACTTGTTTCAAATTATCTTTATACTTCACTTTAATTAAGATCCCAAAGTGATATTTTTCTATCTTAACCAGTACTAAAAACAACTGTTGTATTAGGAACAGTATCAAAAGAATTAATACCACCCATTCTTTATATATGAGCACTAATTCTTTTTTCAGATTTCAAATCCCATTATAATAAGGCTCTATCACGAGATGAAGTAAGTAATTATGTTTCATTAGCAATCAATTTAACTTTAGTAACTTTATGAGTATGTTCTTTTAAATGTGATACCATTTCTCTAGTTCTCATTTCCCAAACTCTAACATCTCCTTCTCCTCCACCACTACAAAAGAATTTCAAATTATTTGATATACAAAGTGTAGTCACTCCTGTTTTATGAGCATTATCAATCTACCAAATTTATTAACCATTATCAGATCTAAACATTCTAATCTTACCATCAGCCCATCCACTTAATAATACTTCATCTCTATAAACTAAACTTAATGGAACAACATTCACATTAGCTTAACATTTAGCAATTACAAAATATTCACTAATATCCCAAAGTCTAATAGTTCCATCTTCTGATGCTGAAGCAAATCTATCAGAAACTCCTGGAGGATAACTCATATCTAATATTGATCCAGTATGATTTTCACTATGCAATCCTTTCTAAAAACTGTTTGTATTGAATCTAAAAATCAAACCTCTATCTGTTGATATCAAACTCTCTAAACCATCTACTCTTACTGTAATTGAATTAACTGCTCCCCCTAAATCAGTTTTGTGTAATTAATTTATCTAATTTAATATAATAATATACTTTATTATCTTCTGTAATTTAATACATTGCTAAAGTACCATTACCTGCTCCAACTATAAATCTTGTAAAATCTACAAATCTTATTGACATTACTCCTAATGCAGCAACTACAATTTAATGACTAAAAAATCTATTTGATTAATATATTTAATTTAATTACTTATTTTTCATCTAAAAAACACAAAAGTCTCCTGATGTTGTTCCTAATAAAAGATATTCTTCTCTATTTTTTGAAAATTCCATACAAATGTATTCTCTTACTAAATTACCTGTATTAATTATTTCTTTCTCAAATACTCCTAATTTTGCATCCAATTTCCATAAACATATTTATTTATTTCCAGATGTTGCAAATTGATATTTTGGTGTATCTCTACCTTTTATATCTTTAGCAAATCCACCCCATCTTGCTATAGTTGTTGGTTCAGGTGTATGATTTACTGATCCTACAATATATCCTGTTTAACAATCCCAAATGAATATTCTTTTATCCATTGGATTACCTGATGAGAAGAGTAATCTATCATCATGACTAAAATCAACGCATACTACTTCATAATCATGTTCTGATAATCTATATTTTTGAATTTTTCTATGATAATCCCAAATAATAACATCAGAATTGTCTCCCTTCTATCCTGATGCAACCAATTCACCTCGATTTGAAACTGCTAAACATGTAATTTAATCGTCATGTCCTTATAAAAATGATTATTTATGAGCATCTCTTAAATCAGTAATTATTAAAGATGCTCCAGCTATACAAATGAATTCCNCACTCCTGTTTTATGAGCATTATCAATCTACCAAATTTATTAACCATTATCAGATCTAAACATTCTAATCTTACCATCAGCCCATCCACTTAATAATACTTCATCTCTATAAACTAAACTTAATGGAACAACATTCACATTAGCTTAACATTTAGCAATTACAAAATATTCACTAATATCCCAAAGTCTAATAGTTCCATCTTCTGATGCTGAAGCAAATCTATCAGAAACTCCTGGAGGATAACTCATATCTAATATTGATCCAGTATGATTTTCACTATGCAATCCTTTCTAAAAACTGTTTGTATTGAATCTAAAAATCAAACCTCTATCTGTTGATATCAAACTCTCTAAACCATCTACTCTTACTGTAATTGAATTAACTGCTCCCCCTAAATCAGTTTTGTGTAATTAATTTATCTAATTTAATATAATAATATACTTTATTATCTTCTGTAATTTAATACATTGCTAAAGTACCATTACCTGCTCCAACTATAAATCTTGTAAAATCTACAAATCTTATTGACATTACTCCTAATGCAGCAACTACAATTTAATGACTAAAAAATCTATTTGATTAATATATTTAATTTAATTACTTATTTTTCATCTAAAAAACACAAAAGTCTCCTGATGTTGTTCCTAATAAAAGATATTCTTCTCTATTTTTTGAAAATTCCATACAAATGTATTCTCTTACTAAATTACCTGTATTAATTATTTCTTTCTCAAATACTCCTAATTTTGCATCCAATTTCCATAAACATATTTATTTATTTCCAGATGTTGCAAATTGATATTTTGGTGTATCTCTACCTTTTATATCTTTAGCAAATCCACCCCATCTTGCTATAGTTGTTGGTTCAGGTGTATGATTTACTGATCCTACAATATATCCTGTTTAACAATCCCAAATGAATATTCTTTTATCCATTGGATTACCTGATGAGAAGAGTAATCTATCATCATGACTAAAATCAACGCATACTACTTCATAATCATGTTCTGATAATCTATATTTTTGAATTTTTCTATGATAATCCCAAATAATAACATCAGAATTGTCTCCCTTCTATCCTGATGCAACCAATTCACCTCGATTTGAAACTGCTAAACATGTAATTTAATCGTCATGTCCTTATAAAAATGATTATTTATGAGCATCTCTTAAATCAGTAATTATTAAAGATGCTCCAGCTATACAAATGAATTCCACTCCATTTGGATGCAATATCACACTTCGAGGTATCTTATATATATATTCAATTTTACTCTTCCACTATATCCAATTGCATGTTCCATCTCAAGAATATCTGCAGAAGGTTGTTTCATTTTTTATATATAAATAATATATATATTTAATATTTTCTAAAATAATCAATATTCAATTAATAACTTTCAATTTTTTACATAATAATGTAATGATCAATATCATATAAAAACTTTATAATTATTTCTAGAAATTGCTATTTCAATATTTGGAAATACTTAATTTTAGAGTTGCATAAATTTAAAATAATATCACTTAAATATAATAAAATCTAATTATTTTCATCAATTCCATAAATGATTCAACTTATTCAAATTATATTTATTTATCAGGTTTCTCAATTTTTTTTAATTTTTATAATGATATTTAGTATGTATTAAAAGAGATAGATATCTTAATTAACTATTTAACTATTCTTGTTGGAATTAGAGACTGTATAGTAAATTTATTAACTAAAATTTATTAATATATTGATTATTATATGTTTAAGAATTACTGTTCGATTGCTAAATCGTATTTTAATCAGTAATAAATTTCTATGTTTAATTTTTGTTGTATATATTTTTAATTAACTAATAAATCATTAGAATTGCAATGTAAACTTTGATGAGGCATTAGATTGATGTCTCTATTTTGTTGTTTAATTATATTTATTTAGGGTTTGCTTAAATTACAATAAAATTTTCAATCTTATAATTATAATTAAAAATGGATGAATTTCAGACTTTCTTTCAAAGTTTAGGGGAAAAAAAATTGACTCCTATTTCTGAGGATTACAGAAAACAATTCAAGATTAGAGGAGAGTTCATCTATCCACATAACAAGAAGTTTGATCAAATTTGTAAAAGGTAATCTTAAGTATTTAAAACTAGCTTTTTAGAAGATGAAAAATTAAGGAGCAAAAGAAAATGGGATAATTCTTTTAAACTATTTCTGATATGGTTTTTAGTTAAATATTTTGAGAATTAAAATCGAATTACAATACGACCTGTAGAAGTTTAATATATTTTAGGATGAGAATGATTGGATTAATTTTGAAAACATTCTGAAAATAGATAAGCATACTTTACAGTAAAGATGGATTACTTTGATTAATCCTCAAATGAAATCTATCAATTGGTTATAGGAAGAAGATGATTTTATTAGAACTTAAATGAAGTAAGTTAGAATTACTTAATTTATTATAGTTAAAAGAATAAACATATTTGGACATAAATTGCAGTTTCTCTTTATGAAAGGAATTTGTAGGGGAATATTCGAACTCCAAAATAAATTAGGGAACGATGGATGAATTATTTGAATCCTGAATTAAATAAGTAATTTACTATCCTTATTTATAGAGAACAATGGTTGCTCAAAGAGGATTTGATTATTTTAAATAACGTTGTGAAAAATGGAAAAAAATGGTCACAAATTTCATAGTAATTGAATGGGAGAACAGAAAATTAGGTGAAAAATAGGTAATTGAATAACACAATTACATAAGATACAAGTCATTAATACATAAAATATGCAAGGATGATGAATGTGATGAAATAGAGATGATCAAATAGTACATTAGAAAAAAGTATGTAACAATTTAAATAAGTAGTTCTGTACATATGGACTCTAATAAATAAGGTATAATAGGTAAAAGGGGGAGACACAAGAAGGGAATGAAAAATAAGGAACAAAAAGCAGATGCAAAGAAACAAAAAAATATTCCAAAAATAATAAAATAAGAAGAATAATTATCCTCATAAGCTTTCGCTTAATAAGCATAATAATAATAATAATAATAATAATAATAATAATAATAATAATAATAATAATAATTGTTATTTACATAATCTTAATAATTATAATTGTAATAATAAATACAATAAACTTAATAATTGCAATAATTGTAGTAGCTATAATAATAGATGAATTTTAATTAGGAAGAAATGAAGTTAGCATTAAACTTGTAATCTACTTTTAATTAGGAGGATATGAAAAATACAACTCCATTGATGATGTTATAATGTTTAACCTCTCCAGGATATTAGTATTTTGAAAATCAATGTTTAAGATAATTGTCTCCTGGAATGATAGAAGAAGTAGATTGTCATTAAAATTCGTCTTTATAATTACCCAAAATAGCAAATATTTATAAGGTAAATTCTACATCTCCATTTTTAATTGGATCTATGTTGCCTTCTCCATTTTGGAATAATGATCAATTTGTTCAATAGAATGATGATTAAGTTGGAGCAATATCTAATTAAACTTTTACCTAATAAATTTCCACAACTCCTTATTTGAATATAAATTATTTGAGACAATAATAGATGAATGGGTTCTCTAAATAAAAGGAATTAGATTTATTGTAGGAAAATCCTATATAACAATTCAATAAAAGAAGAAATATTAATTAATAGTGAAAATGATAATAATAATATATATATATATATTTATATTAAATTATTAATGATAAAGAACAATAATAATTTAGATGCTCTGAATGTAAGATATATAATCCTTAATCTAGGGATTGAAATATGAACTGCAAATAATTGAAGATCAAAAGTCCTAGGAGTTGAAAGATTTGAAATTATTTTTTAAAACATTATAATAGAAAGTTTGGGATTTAAAGAGAAGAAGTAAATTTCTTAATTATCAGTTAGATTATAATTAAAAAATATGTTTCATTGATCCTCTCCTTAGGGACTCATTATTATCAATGCAGCATTTAATTGGGCTAAAGGCAGAAGCAATTAGATAATTAGAGGATGAAAAATACAATCAATAGGTTGATCGAGAGAAATTGGGTATTGTAAATAAACATAGAATAGTTGTATTGCATAAGTATTAAGAAAGTGGTGTTGAAGTGCATCATGCTTACACTAAATACATCCAATCTGAAAATCTAAAAGGCTTAAGAGATTTGCCTCACTCATATAAATTGTTAGAATAAGACCTTGAAATTGAAGTTGAGAGAAAACGCCAGTTAAAATTATAGTTGGAATCACAGAAGAAATAAACCGAAGAATTGTTATAAGAGACTCGCAAAAAACTTGAAGTTGAATTAAAATTTTCTACATATATCAGGAAGCTACATCTTTCCATCATTCGCTGCAGTAAAAAATAGACCAGGAGAAAAACTGAAAAAGCATCCACACGAAGTCCATATATAAACATATTTTATTTTTTTTTATTTTTCTTTATATGGCTGACAATTTGTGTCACCAGTATGATTAATTAAATAATTTTGAAATTAAATGGAAGTGGAAACTTAGAATTTAACATAAGAGGAACTTGAACTCTTCAAATTACTTAAATAAAGAGAACAAGAATTGGAATATTTAGATATTTAAGAATAATATTTGAAAGAAGATTAAAAAAGATTGAAAAGAGAATTAGTGAGAAGTAGAGAAGAATTAAAAAGAATCTAAGCAGTCCCTTTGACAGTAGGGTATATATTNTTCAATAGAATGATGATTAAGTTGGAGCAATATCTAATTAAACTTTTACCTAATAAATTTCCACAACTCCTTATTTGAATATAAATTATTTGAGACAATAATAGATGAATGGGTTCTCTAAATAAAAGGAATTAGATTTATTGTAGGAAAATCCTATATAACAATTCAATAAAAGAAGAAATATTAATTAATAGTGAAAATGATAATAATAATATATATATATATATTTATATTAAATTATTAATGATAAAGAACAATAATAATTTAGATGCTCTGAATGTAAGATATATAATCCTTAATCTAGGGATTGAAATATGAACTGCAAATAATTGAAGATCAAAAGTCCTAGGAGTTGAAAGATTTGAAATTATTTTTTAAAACATTATAATAGAAAGTTTGGGATTTAAAGAGAAGAAGTAAATTTCTTAATTATCAGTTAGATTATAATTAAAAAATATGTTTCATTGATCCTCTCCTTAGGGACTCATTATTATCAATGCAGCATTTAATTGGGCTAAAGGCAGAAGCAATTAGATAATTAGAGGATGAAAAATACAATCAATAGGTTGATCGAGAGAAATTGGGTATTGTAAATAAACATAGAATAGTTGTATTGCATAAGTATTAAGAAAGTGGTGTTGAAGTGCATCATGCTTACACTAAATACATCCAATCTGAAAATCTAAAAGGCTTAAGAGATTTGCCTCACTCATATAAATTGTTAGAATAAGACCTTGAAATTGAAGTTGAGAGAAAACGCCAGTTAAAATTATAGTTGGAATCACAGAAGAAATAAACCGAAGAATTGTTATAAGAGACTCGCAAAAAACTTGAAGTTGAATTAAAATTTTCTACATATATCAGGAAGCTACATCTTTCCATCATTCGCTGCAGTAAAAAATAGACCAGGAGAAAAACTGAAAAAGCATCCACACGAAGTCCATATATAAACATATTTTATTTTTTTTTATTTTTCTTTATATGGCTGACAATTTGTGTCACCAGTATGATTAATTAAATAATTTTGAAATTAAATGGAAGTGGAAACTTAGAATTTAACATAAGAGGAACTTGAACTCTTCAAATTACTTAAATAAAGAGAACAAGAATTGGAATATTTAGATATTTAAGAATAATATTTGAAAGAAGATTAAAAAAGATTGAAAAGAGAATTAGTGAGAAGTAGAGAAGAATTAAAAAGAATCTAAGCAGTCCCTTTGACAGTAGGGTATATATTAGAATTAAATAATACATAGTCATTTTAATGAAATGATGAATGAGAATTATGCTTTAATAAATTCTAATGGTGGAGCAACACTATATGTTAGAGTACTCAGTACATTAGATAGAGAAAAATTGAAACCAAATACATCAATTGCTTTACATAGACATTCACATAGTGTTGTTGATATTTTACCCACCGAAACAGATTCTTCAATTCAAATGATGCATGTAACAGGTATTAAATATTAATAATAAAAAGAAAAACCTGATGTAAGTTATTAAGATATTGGTGGTTTGGATTAATAGAAGTAAGAAATCAAAGAAGCTATTGAATTACCATTATCTTGCCCTGAATTATACAAATAAATTGGTATTGATCCACCAAGAGGTGTTTTATTGTATGGTCCTCCTGGTACTGGAAAGACAATGATAGCCAAAGCTGTTGCTCATCATACTACTGCATCATTTATTAGAGTTGTTGGATCAGAATTTGTATAGAAATATTTGGGAGAAGGACCTAGAATGGTTAGAGATGTTTTCAGATTGGCAAGAGAGAATGCTCCTAGTATCATATTCATTGATGAAGTTGATTCTATTGCTACAAAGTATATAAAATATTTATTCAAAATTTTAGACGTTTTGATGCTTAAACAGGAGCAGATAGAGAAGTTTAAAGAATTCTTATTGAATTACTAAATCAAATGGATGGTTTTGATTAAAGTACTAATGTTAAAGTGATTATGGCTACTAATAGACCTGACACACTTGATCCAGCACTTCTCAGACCTGGGTAAGTTTTATATATCTATAATTCTTAGACGTCTTGATAGGAAAATTGAATTCCCTCTTCCTGATAGAAGATAAAAACGATTGATATTCTAAACTGTTACATCAAAAATGAATTTATCAGAGGAAGTTGATTTGGAAGCTTTCATCAATAGACCTGATAAGATTAGTAATGCTGATATTGCTGCCATCTGTTAAGAAGCTGGAATGTAGGCTGTTAGAAAGAATAGGTATGTTGTCATACAGAAAGACTTTGATAAAGCCTACAAAATTGTAGTTAGGAAAACTGAGAAAGAGTTTAATTTTTACAAATGAATTATATAATATAGATATATATATACAATTAATCTAATCTTATGGTTTTTATTAATTCGTTATTTAATCAATAATAAAATTAATATATAATTATATTCATTAATACAATGTCACAATCTAGCGATATAACATAAATGAGTGATAATAACTCACCAGCATTGAAGTTTTCTTTACAACCTGATGTTGTTAATATGTTGAAGGCTTAAAAAGATGATGTTCCCATAGGTAAAAACCATCAAGCAATACTTCCTTTCACTCTTCTAAGTAGAAAATAGATTGAATTAAAAAAATCAAATTTATCACATTATAAGATATGGAATTCTACTTCTAATGAAGATATGTAAAGTATCAATGAAATATACAAATAATTTCGTAGGAAATTTGGAAGAAATGCTTAACATTTAGATGAATTCTTTACTTTAATAAGTCGAACAAATTAAGATTTAGAATTAGTTAAATAATTAATCTTATTTGAAGATAAATTTCTTTAAAAATACATCTAAACGAGAAGTTCTTTATTAAAATGTGATTGATATTAATATGCTTGCATTTCATTTCAAGAAATACTCATATTTTATATTTGACATCTAATATTTATTATTATTTATACATATCATCTATTAGTTATATCGATGATTTATCAATATTCTATAAAACACCTTAATAAATACATACCCTTCTTGCAAATCAAATTAACAATAACTATAAAGAAATGATCTTTTTTATATGGAAAATTAAATTTTAAATTAATATAAAGAATTATAATTTGACTGTATCTTCTTAATAAATATAATGTTAAGTTTATTCATTTATGCTAATATTACAACAATTACTCTGAATCTTAAATTACATTACGAATTCTATCAAAATTATTAGACTAATATTTAAACAATAATTTTACTTATCTTGTTTAAGGTGAAGATTACGGCCATTATTGTTGTGGAACTTAATTAGATGCCTTCAATGGTTGATTTCCTTATGGCTTATATTCTAAAACTGTAACTTCTCTATCAAATTAATCATTCTAGAATATATTATCAAAATAAACATACCATAGGAGCAACTGTTTTTGCTAATTACACTGGAAATTTTTCATTTGTCAGTAATTAATTATAATTATTTGTAGGAGGAGGTCTATTCAAATAAATAACTGGCATTTATATAGGAGCAGATTACTAAATTAAAGGTCTTTGGATTGGTTACTATTAAAAAATATTTGGGGTTTGTGGTGGCTATTACAAAATATAAGGAGGTGGTGGGGCTATATAAACATTTTATAATGGTTTTGCAGGAGGAGGTGGAGTTTGGGGTTAATAATATGATTATTGTATTTTTATTGGATTATCTGGAGATATGGGAGTTGATATAAGTTAGTTTTTGGATTATTAAGGAGGTAATTAAGGAACGATTTATTATGATTATGGTATCTCTTCAGGTTAAAAAATCAAACCCTATAGTAACTTTATCATTTTAGATGACTCATTTGAAATTAACTAATGCACAGGAGGCACAGGAGAAACTGACTTTCTTAAATCTGGACTTTAAATTAACGGTTATTGTTATTAAGGGACTCTTGGAATTTATATATGTTACTAAGGTAAAATTTACGATTATTATATTATATTTTGGGATTATTATTATTTCAAGTTTTATTGTTATCTAATGTTTTATATTTATTATTAAGTTAAGATCTATTATTGGTATAAAGGAGGTTATGGTATAGTGGGTTATTGGATAATTGTTAGTTATTGAATTGAATTTGGTTATTATAATTGTTAATTTTATGATTTTTATTATATAAAATTTTATTAATATTCCAATTAATCTTATTGTTGAATCTATTACTATTTTGATTGTTAAAGAATTAATTATTACTGTTATTATATTTATTACTATTATTATTGAATATTGACTTTCAGTTGTTATTGTTATTTATTATTGTCGATCTATTAAGATTCATATAAAATTTCTGAATGCTTATTTGAATTTTCAATAATTTACTTTAACTTCAATTTAGACATAACATTCAAAGGAATTGCTAATTATTTGATATCTTCAAAATTAATTTAAAAATCTTATAAGTTATTGATTTTTTCTGAATAAGGTTTCAAGAAATAATAAAGATCCTCTATTAATAATTAATTATCAGTTTCTAACATCAGATGCTCTGTTATTCGAATTAATTATTAAGAAAAGCGATTATAACAAAGCATTTATAATTAAGCAACTTATTAAGTTTCAATTAAAACGGGTACATCAAGTATCATAAGATCAAGAATTATATGTCCTAAAGCAAATGAATCTATAATGTTCCAATTGATCTATGGTTATTATTAATTTATAAGTGATTTTTTTAATGTAGTAGGGAGGTAAGTCGATAAATTTTCAACTACAAATCTAGCAACTGAGTTTTTTTGATCTTACAAAACTCCAATAGGACAAAGTTTTACTGTACCATTTCGTTTTAATGCCACTGTAGCTGGTCTTAAATCTTTGTGATTATAACCTTTTTATTTAAGTTCATAAAGGGCCTGAGTCAAAGTCCATAACAAATACCAAATCTCTTTTTCTGAGAATTGTTCTTGATTTTCTTTCCTTTCATTAATTTCTCTATCTTAAATATAATAATGTACTTCAATAAAGTATGAGGAATATATTCGTAATAACTGAAAATCATTGAATAGGATGAACACATTTCCTACGATTGCTTTTCTGAACTTCCATAATAATTTATAATGTAGGGAGCCTAAATATGATAAATCATAGTTTAAGATTAATGCCAGAGTTCATCTGACTCCTAATCAAGAATTCTGTTTGGATATTCAATTATCATTTCTTAATTTGCATCACAAATATAGACTTGTCCATCGATCTTCTCTCCCTTAATCTCTATTGGTCTAAACTAACTCTTAAAATTTTTGAAGAAAGAAGTAGAATTCATGTATGATGGAGAAGATGTTCCCATTTAATAACCAATATAAAAATTATTTAAATGTCTCTTAAATCTCTCTTATCTCTCCTAAGCAGTTAATTCCTTAACTTAACTATATTCATTCTTTTATGATTCTTTTCTAACTTGAAAGCAATAGTGTAGGCCACAGCAAGATCTTATAGTTCCTATTTTGCAATATTTTCTTATATATTATCAATGATTATTGTTACTTTATTATGTTCCCTTTTAGTTGGTACTGAATCTGTTTTAGTTTACTTTTTGCTAAGCTTGCTTTTACCTTATTTAGATTATAATTAAGTTACAAATAAACAATAGATTCTCATCTATAATTTAACATTTTTATTTTGTATCTTATTGCTAGAGCATAACTATTAAATTGACACTTATAATTTTATATATTGCTAAACTTACTATTGTGCTTATTGAGTGATTAAAGTTTATTATATTTGCTATTAATTTTTGAGTTTTTTTGATAAATTGTTTATAAGTCTAATCCTTATGGAATTTTCAGGTCAAAATTAAGATCAAGGTTTTGTTCTAAAAATTATCTTCAATCTCACCGAAATTATCATCTTTTCTTTATTATATATCCTCTCTGAGGGATGATTGTTTTTAATTTTTCTAAACTCAAATACATATGTCTTATGCATTATTTGAGTATTTTTCTTCAATTGATTGATCAATATACTGAAACTTCTTTCTTATATTAATTATTAGAATCTTCTTTATGGAGTTTCTAAAAAACCATTAAACTTTTCTTTTCGGAAGTGATAATCTTTCTTATTTAATAATGCTTCATTGACTTCAACCAACAAAGGGCAATTAAGAAGTAACATATAATTAAAAAAACTTCCTTATATAATCTTGAAATTATACTCCAGACAAGATAATTTATTTATTTGAATTCATTTCATCTTTAGATAAAATTGATTATGGTATTGACAGAATTAAGATTTAAATCAATATAACAAAATATTAAGTATTAAATTAATATCATAATTATTTCTTGGGATAACTTTAAAATAGGTAATTGAAAAAAATCATTTTAGCCAGAAATAAAATGTTCTATTTTTAATAGAATCTTCAAATAAAATTTTGAATTTCATATTTATTAATTGCTTGTTAAAAAATCATTAATAAGTTATATTAGAGTATTTTTTATTTTTTGTATATAGATTTCCAATTCATCTATTAATTTTGTTTGTTTAACATTTATTTTAGAATCTATAACTTTAATTAAATAATAACTCATCAATCGAATACGTTTTCTTCATGCAAATTGATTTTTTAATATGGTTATTCTTTGAATTAAGAATAATTCATTGAATAATTATTCATTAATTCTACTTTTAGATGTTAACTATTATAATCTTCAATCTCAATTCATTAATTGAATTAACTAATCTATTTCATCAACTAAATATCCTTTTCAATCTTATCTAATATTTCTTCTCTCTATTTATTTTGATTCTTAAATTCTAATCAAATTTTAGATTGTTTATAATCATGAATTTCATTATTATGCTATTCATATATGAAACTCCTTTCAATTTATTTGTCATTGACTTACACTAAATCTAGATCTCCATAAAGTCTCTTTTTTGATTATTTCTTCATCTTCTAAATCATCTGAAAAACTCATTTAAATATAAGTATCTCTAATATATTATTTTATTTTAAAAAATAGAAATGCATTCGAAGGGCAAACGAACTTTGGGTACTATAAAATGATGAATTATTTAGGCCCAATTTAAAAAATCAATACCCCTTCTTTTGATTTTCAATCAGCTTTTAAGGAACATCAGGAAGTAGAGGAAAGGATTAAAAAAGAAACTGAAACTCAAGATCCTAGGTATTATAACTCATAAATATTCAAGGAAACTTGTAATGAATCTATTGAACGATAGAGACAATTTGCAAGCCATAGATGGCACTTTAACTAGTTCATAATTTGGAATGAAGAAAAAGGTAATTCTAAATATATAATATAATGATAGATAAATATACGTACAACTAGATAAGTGAAAAGTTAAGTACCTTTATTAACTGGTTAGATGAAGAATATGACTTCACTTAATTTTAACTCTCCATCTTAAACATTGAAATTTGATATGGATTCATAATTTAATTCCAAAAGATCAAATTTCATACCTAATTTTATAAATTCAGGTAGAAATTTTGATGTAGAAGTAAAAGGAACATTAGGAGAGGAATTCACTGAATTTTAAATGTGTAATTTAATTAATTCAATTATTAGATGATGATGATTCATAACCAGAAGACATTCCAAAAAATAAAAATTTTTCTAATGGAGGTAGAATGGCAAATAAAAAATTAAAGGATTATGATTGTTGGGATGAAGATAAAACTCCTGAATAATGGATTGAATTATGTCGTAAAACGAATCCTCCACATGCTAAGTGTCCACTCTTTGATCATTCAGATAGATATATTTGGACGGATGTTGAAGTTCTTAACTATTAAAATGGACGTTATGAAGTGAAGGTTTTGAGAAACAATAAAATCAAATGGATTGGAAGACTCTCTCTATTATTCTTTGCAGAAGACCCAATTAAATTTGAATAGAGAGTTGAATTATGTAAATAAAGATAAAGAAATGCTGATGATGAATATAGATTTCTTAAATATATAGAGTCTTTACCTGATTCAATGACATCTACTTTATCTACTGAAATGTAAAAGAAAATAGATGAATTCACATATTTCAGAGAATTACCTTATTTAACAAAAGAAGATCCTAGTAAAACTGCTCCAGGATTTCCATAAATCTAAACTTTGAAAGATGAATCAAAAACTATGATTACTGATCCAGAAATAAAAAGAAAGTAATTGTAAAATTTAGATCTACTTAAAAAAGATCTAGTTAAATAAGTAGAAAAAGAATATATTATGCTTATGAAGAAATGTTCTATTCTAAAAGATATGGAAATTAATAAAAATGATATTAAATGGATATAACTTAGAATCAGAAATAGATTTGAATAAACTAAAAAACCATTCTATGGATTATGTAAATAATTTGGAAGTGATACAAAAATCATTATTTATGAATCATAGGCACAATCAAATAAATCATTTAATAAATTGTAAGATATTTGGGCATTTGTTCCTATTAGATCAATTATTTAATCATTACATTATTCTAAATTAACAGTTGTTGTTAATACTCTTAATGCATTAACTGCAAGATCTTAATTATATCAAAATTTCCCTTTATTAAATGTATTATTAAATCATTAATCACTTCCTATGACTTTATCCAATTTTGAAAGTCAATAAAAATAACATTAAGTTTAAGGTAGATAAACTTTATAAGTTTAATGGAGAAGTACCATTGTTGGTGATATACAAGATAAATTAAGAGAAAAATATAGATTCTATTAAACTGAAACTGAAGATTATTTAGATAGTGATTTATAAAAATTACTTATTAGAATTGATTATATGTTTACTAATTATATAAGAGAGAATGTAGTCAAATAGAATTGTATAGCATGGGTTGATTTTATTAAGAAATTTACAACTCCAAAATAAGGAGAATATTGGAGAATTAATGATTATCCACTTATGATTCTTAATCTTGAAGTTAATCTTAATTTCAAAAAAAGTAAAAAAAATGAAAAAAAAGTCAAGTAAGATGATACTCCATTACTTGATGAGGATCCAATTAATGCTATATATTATTCTCCTAGTTTATAAGCTATTTAAAATGCTCTTTTGAAACCATTAGATCTATTATTAGAATCAGTTAATTCTTTTAATCGTTTAGAAAAAGATCTTGTTCCTTTAGTTGATATTGATTAAAAAAAAGAAGTTAAAGGAAGATTAAGAGCCTATGAAATAGAAAATGATTAAGATTAAATTTGGGTTAAATGGGCAAGAGATAAAATTTTGGAGTACATTGAAATAGGATTTTAGAAACCGAATGAAATGCTTTAACGTTTTAGAGAATACAGTTTTCTTTTAGAAAAACCAGTTTCAAGCATATTAAAGAGTTTATTTGGAGATATTTCTAAGAAACCTATCATTACTTCTTTGGATAAGGATGATATCTAAAAAAAATTAAATGATTTTATTAATGCTAAATTGTAAATACAAAGATTATGTTTGGATGAAAAGAATGAATAATTCTTTTAAATTAGAACTAGAATTGCTAAAGAAAATTTAATTTAAAAAGCAAATGAATTTGTGTCATCTATTTTGAAATAATGTTCAGAAATAGTTACAGATAACATAAGTCGTCTTAGTGTTGAGTATACTGATATGAGTGAAAGAATAACTAAGTAACCAAAAAATGAGGCAGAATTAGTTGAATTAAAAACTTATATTGCTGAGCATGAAGTTAATTTAGCCAAAAAGAAACGAGAAGTTGATTGTTTATATGATTATTTGACAATCTTTGAAGAAATGAACCATACATTTGAAGACAAAAATCTTTATGAATTTTGGAATTTGTATAGTTTCCCACCAGAAATTAAAAATCATGTTATTGAAGGATAGAGAAAAGCTAATCTATAAGAATAAAAGTTCATAGAAAATTTGGATAATGAAAAAGATAAATTTTAAGGGGAATTAAGAGAATTAGCTGAATTATATCTAACAGTTTAGAAATTTGAAGATTACACAAAAGCAAAAGAAAATGCTACTGAAGTGATGTTATTAAATGAAAGATTATAGAAAGCTAAGGAAAAAGTGGAATCCTTTAATGAAAGAGAAAGATTATTTAAATCACCAGAATCTGTATATGATGAATTAGAATAATTAATTAAAAACTTTACTATTTATTATAATTTATGGACTTATTTCATTGAATTTGAAATGGAAAAAGGTGATTGGTGCACTGGATCATTTTTAAAACTTAATTTTACTGAAATTGATTAAAAAGTAAGAACTAATTAAAGAAATGTGAATATTCTTATTAAAGCATTCTCAGATACAGGAGATGATACAGCTGTTGAAGTTGCGAGAAAACTAAAAAGTTAGATTGATGAATTTAAAGAAAAACTGTGGTTAATTGAATTACTTACTACAGAAGCTATGAAAATTAAATTAAATATGTGGAAGGATATTTGGAAGATTGTTGATTAACAAGATTAAGAAACAAATGATGATTTATCATTAGATACACTTGTGTCACATGGTTTAATGAATCATAGAAATGAAATAGAAGAAGTATCAAGAAGAGCAGAAAAACAATGGTAAATTGAAAAAAATCTTAATTTAATATAAGAAAAGTTAAAAGATTAAAAGGTTGAAATGATTCCATATAAAAAGACAGGAACTTTTGTTTTAAAATCTCTTGAAGAAGTAGTTTAATGTTTTGATGATTAATTCAATATATTATTAATGTTAAAAGCATAGCCATAAATTAAGGCAGTTTTACATAAGGCTTAAGCTTTAGAATATAAAATAGTATTGATTTAAGATACACTTGATGGATGGATAAAATGTCAAAGAGGCTGGATGTATTTAGAACCAATCTTTACATCAGATGATATTAAAAAGAAAATGCCTTAAGAAACACTAAAGTTTTAAAAAGTTGATTCACATTGGAGAACTGTAATGGAATAATTTAGCAAAGAACCAAATTTATGGGATGGAGTTGAGAGTGATAAAATGAAAAATGAATTTGATTAAGATAATAAGGCTTTGGATTAGATTTAGAAATCTCTTAGTGAATATTTAGAAACTAAACGTAATTCTTTTCCAAGATTTTACTTTTTGTCTGATGAAGAATTATTAGAAATTTTAGCTTAGACTAAAGATCCTGAAACTGTATAAAAGCATATTAATAAATGTTTTGAAGCTATAAATTTATTGGAATTTGTTAATGGATAAGAAGTAGTAGCTATGATATCGGCTGAAAAAGAAAAAGTTCCTTTTTCAAAAGCCATAAATGTCAATGAGGGAGATAAAAAAGGAAATGTTGAAAAATGGTTATGTGAAATTGAAGCTGTGATGATAGATACTCTAAAAAAGATTATGAAAGCATCTCATTTAGATGTAGATACTAAAAGAGTGGTTTGGGTCAGAAAATGGCCAGCATAAATTGTATTAGCTGTCAATATGATCAGATGGACTCGAGGTAGTGAAACATCTATAAATGATAAAGATAATTCTCATGGAGGATTGGCAGGTTTCCTCCAAATATTATTAAATGAACTAAGAGATATAGTAGATTTAGTTAGATAAGATTTATCTCCATTAGAAAGATTAACTTTGGGAGCTTTGGTTGTGTTGGATGTTCATGCTAGAGATGTTATAAGATAGTTAGTTAAGATTGGTTGTAATGATATTAATAACTTTTAATGGATGGCTTAATTAAGATATTATTGGACTGAATAATTGATGAAATGTAATGTTAAAATGATAAATGCTGATTTATTATATGGTAATGAATATTTAGGTAATAGTATGAGATTGGTTATTACACCTTTGACAGACAGATGTTATCGTACTTTAATGGGAGCATTTCATTTATAATATGGAGGTGCACCAGAAGGTCCTGCAGGAACAGGTAAAACAGAAACAGTAAAAGATTTAGCTAAGGCATTAGCAGTATAATGTGTAGTTTTTAATTGTTCTGATGGTTTGAATTATTTAGCTATGAGTAAATTCTTTAAAGGTTTGGCAAGTTCAGGAGCTTGGTGTTGTTTTGATGAATTTAATCGTATTGATTTAGAAGTGTTATCAGTTATTGCTTAATAAGTACTTACTATCTAAGATGCTATTAAATAAAAGAGACCAGAATTTGAATTTGAAGGAACTCCAATTAAACTTGTTCCATCATGTGCAATAAATATAACAATGAATCCAGGATATGCTGGAAGATCTGATTTACCTGATAATTTAAAAGCTTTATTTAGACCATGCGCTATGATGGTTCCAGATTATGCATTGATTTCAGAAATATATTTAGCCTCTGTAGGATTTTAAGATGCAAATAATTTAGCTCGTAAAATTGTAGCTTCATTAAGATTATCATCAGAATAATTATCATCATAAGATCATTATGATTTTGGTATGAGAGCATTGAAAGCTATTTTGACAGCTGCAGGTAATTTAAAGAGAGTAATGAATGATATTGAAGATATTATTTGTTTAAGAGCTCTTATGGATGTCAATATTCCAAAATTCACAATAAATGATGTACCTCTATTTAATTCAATCACATCAGATTTGTTTCCAGGAATTAAGTTACCTGAATAAGATTATGGAGCATTGGAAACAGCTCTCAAAAATATAGCTTAAGAGATAAATATTCAAGCAGAAAAAGGTTTTATTGAAAAGTGTATTTAATTATTTGATACCATAAATGTTAGACATGGTTTAATGATTGTAGGATAAGCTTTCGCAGGTAAATCTAAAGTTTTAGAATGTTTGGGTAAAGCAATGTCATCATTAAATAAAATATAATCATTTGTAAATGTTGCTGTGATAAAACTTAATCCAAAATCAATTACTTCAGATTAATTATATGGTAAATTGGATCCAGATACAAAATCATGGACTGATGGAGTCATAGCTATTATAATGAGATAGTGTGCATAAGATGCAGAAATTGAAGAAAGAAAATGGGTTGTGTTTGATGGACCTGTTGATGCAGTTTGGATTGAAAATATGAATACTGTTTTGGATGATAATAAAAAGTTATGTTTGACATCTGGTGAAATCATAAAAATGACAAATTGGATGACTATGATGTTTGAAGTAGAAGATCTTTCAGTTGCATCTCCTGCCACTGTTAGTAGATGTGGTATGGTCTTTTTAGAGACATAATAAATTGGATGGTATGCATTAGTGAAATCATATATTTTAACAATTCCAGAGAAATTTATAGAACATCATTATTTAGATGATCTTTTAAGAGTTTTAATTGATTGTTGTTAAGAATGGTTAAGAAAGAATGGTAAATTTCCAATATATAAAAGTGAAATGACATTAGTGAAAAATATGTTACTAATATTGTAAACATATGTATAGGAATGGACAGATATTGATGAGAAAGCATAATAAAAATAAATAAATCATAATGAAATTAAAGATATCATTTCAAAAGCAATATTATTCTCTTGTGTTTGGAGTTTTGGAGCTGCTATTGATGAAGTGTGTAGAAAACAATTTAATTAATTTTTAATTAAATTAATATCATCTGAAGATGTTCAAGATACATACAAATTATAATTACAATATAAATTTTCACCAATCACAATCAATGCTAAATTACCAGATAAAGCTAATCTTTTTGATATGGTTTATGATAGACATAAAAACAATTTCATAAGTTGGACATAAACTTAACCACCTTTTGTGATACCAAAAGGATGTGATTATCATGATCTACTAATACCCACTAGTGATTCAATTAGAAATAATTATTTCCTTCATTTATGTGTTAAAAATAAAATACATCTTCTTGTTTCTGGACCTACAGGTACTGGTAAAACATCTAATATTGTAAGTGAAATCAATAAAAATTACTTTAATACAGAATATACAAATTTGATCACTGCATTTTCAGGATAAACTTTAGTAAATTAAGTTTAAAAAACAATAGAAGCTAAGGTTAATTCAAGAAGAAGAAAAGGATACTTTGGACCTGAAGAAGGTAAAAAAAGCATTGTGATCTTTATTGATGATTTAAATATGCCAGCAAAAGAAAAATATGGAGCATAACCTCCTATAGAATTGTTAAGACAATGGATGGATACAGGAGGATGGTATGATTTAGAAACAAAAGAACCTAAATACCTTTAAGGAATTACATTTATAGCAAGCATGTTACCACCTACAGGGGGAAGGAATGTTGTCAGTATGAGATATTTAAGACATTATGTTCTATTATATGTAGAACCTTTTGAAGGAGATTCATTACAAAGGATATTTTAAAATGTGTTGGAATGGTATTATGCTAGACAATCAAATCCATTTATGAAATCTATTACAAATCTTAGAGATTAGACAGTTAATGCCACTCTAGATATATATTAATTAATCTAAACATGTAAAGAACTTTTACCTACTCCAGCTAAATCACATTATATTTATAATCTTAGAGATATCAGTAAAGTTTTCTAAGGAATTTCAAAAGGAGTAATTAAATCATTTAGGGATGAAAATGATTTCATTAAATTATGGGCACATGAATGTCAACGTGTATTTTAGGATAGATTAATTAATGAAGATGATTAGGGAACTTTTGATAAGATTCTAAAGGAAACCATTTTAAAACATTTTAAACGAGATTGGAAATAATTAGTATAAATAGAGCCACTTTTATGGGCTTCATTTGTTCCTACACTCTATCCTGATGATGATAGAACAAAGAGACCATTAACAGATATCTATTGTGAATTAACAGATAGAGAGACACTTAAAAAAATATGTTAAGAATAATTAAATGAATATAATTCATAATATACTAGTAATAGAATGGAATTAGTGTTATTTATGAATGCTATTTAACATGTGCTTAAAATAGTACGTGTTGTTAATACTACATTTGGTCATGCTTTATTGGTAGGAGTTGGAGGATCTGGAAGAAAGAGCTTGGCATAATTAGCTTCATTTATTGCATTTCAAAATGAAACATTACAAATAGACTCAAGAAATTGGATAGAAGAATTGTAAAAGGTTATGAAAATGGGAGGAATAGATTAGAAAGAATTTGTGTTTATGTATTCAGATACTTAGATAATTAAGGAATCAATGGTTGAGGATATTTGTAATATCTTAAATAATGGTGAAGTACCTAATTTATTCCCACCTGAAGAGAAAAGTAAAATTATTGAAGAAATGAGCAGTTATACTTCTGGTACACCTAATGAGAAATATAGTTATTTTGTTAAATAATGCAAGAAGAATTTACATCTTGTGATTTGTATGTCACCTGTTGGAGAAGCATTTAGAAGAAGATTGCGTACTTTCCCTGCTTTGGTTAATTGTACAACAATTGATTGGTTTTTACCATGGCCAGAAGAAGCACTTAGGTCAACTGCTGATGCTGTATTTACAAGAGATATGAATATCACTGATACTAAATTAAGATAAGGTTTAGTTGATATTGCAGTTGATATGTAGATGAGAGTTTCTGATCTAACCAAAAGATATTATAATGAATTAAGAAGATATTATTATGTTACTCCAACTTCTTATTTGGAATTACTAAATACATTTAAAAGACTAAAATCAGATAGAGATCAAAATATGATTAAAATGATTTCTCGTTATGAGGCAGGTGTAGATAAGATTATCGTTACAGAGAGTGAAGTAAGTAAAATGTAAAAGGAATTAGAAGATTTATAACCAAAATTGGAGTAGGCTACTAAAGATAATAGTGTAATGTTGATTAATTTGTAAAAGAAATAGAAAGAAGCTGATGCAAGAAAGTAGGTTTGTTAATAAGAAGAGAAAGATTGCAATGTATAAAGAGATGCAGCAAATGCTTTAAGGAATGATTGTTAAAATGATCTAGATAAAGTGTTGCCTATTTTGGCTCAAGCTGCTGAAGCATTGGAAAAGATTGATAAAAATGATATGGTGCAATTGAAATCATTTCCTAAGCCTCCCCCTTCTGCTGCTATTGTTATGGAAGGTTTATGTTACATCTTTTAAGAAGATCAAAATGTTCCATGGAAACCAAAGGAACCAGGTTCAATTGAAAAAGTTTAAGATTTTTGGGAGTATTCTAAAAAGAATCTTTTGAATGATAAATTGATTAAAAGAATTAAGGATTTTAGAGATGATTCAATTAGATCTATTCCTCAAGCAAAAATTAATAAATTAAAAGCATTTTCACAAAATCCATTATTTTAAAAAGATAAAGTATTTAATGCATCAGTTGCTGCTGGTAATCTAAGTTTATGGGTGAGAGCAGTTGTAGAAACTTATGATGCATTATTAGTTGTAGATCCTAAGAGATAACAATTACTTGAAGCTGAAGCCAAATTAAAGGAAGCCGAAGATACTCTAAGAGTTAAGTAAGAAGCATTATAAGAAGTGCTTGATATGTTGGCTAAATTAGAAGCAGAATATAATAAAGCTAAATAGGAAAAAGAAGATTTAGAAGCCAAGGTTAATAAATGTAAAATCTAATTGAGTAGAGCAGAGAAATTAATTACAGAATTAGGAGGAGAGAAAGAGAGTTGGAAAAAGAAGGCTGCTGATTTTAGAGTTGATTCTAAAACAATTGTTGGTGATTGTATATTATCATCAGGAATTGTCGCATATTTAGGAGCATTTCCTATTGCTTATAGAGATGATACAATAAAAGCATGGTAAGGTTTATTAGCTAAATTAAATTTGGAATATGATCCAGATTACTCATTATAAAAAATATTATGTGATCCAATAACAATGGGATAATGGACTAATGTATAAAAGTTACCAAATGATTCATTTTCTATTGATAATGCAATTATCTTAAAAAATTCAACAAGATGGCCTTTAATGATAGATCCTTAAACATAAGCAAATACATGGGTTAAGCATATGGAAATGAAACATGGAGAGAATTAATCTTTGGTTATTGTGAGACCTACATAATCTTCTAATGTATTATCTAAGACATTGGAAAGTGCTTTACAATTTGGTTAAAGTGTATTATTAGAGAATGTAGGAGAGAGCATAGATGCTATTTTTGAATCAATTTTACAATAAAAAATTATCAAATAAGGTTCAGCTTATAAATTAAAATTTGGAGATAAGATGGTTGATTATTCAAGAGATTTCAAATTCTATATGACAACTAAATTAGCAAGACCTCATTATCCACCTGAAATTTGTGTCAAAGTGACAATGTTAAATTTCTAAGTTACTTAAGAAGGATTAGAAGATCAAATGTTAAATATTGTAGTAAAAATAGAAGAACCTGCAAAAGATGAATAAAGATAGAGGAATATAAAGGAATTCTTTGAAAATAAGAATAAATAAAAAATGACTGAAGATAATATTTTATAATTATTATAAGAGTCTAAAGGAAATCTATTAGATGATGAAGTATTAATTGACACTCTCTAAAGATCCAAAGCAGAATCAATAACTATATAAGATAAATTGAAGAAATAAGAATAGGATAGAGAATAATTTAATCAGATTCGTAATTTCTATAGAGAAGTTGCAAAGAGAGTTGCAAATTTATATTTTGTTGTTTTAGATCTTTCATTAATTGAACCAACTTATCAATGGTCTTTAGAATTTTATATCATATTATTTGAAAGAGCAATCAGAGAATCTATTTAAGGAAAAGAAAATAGAAGTAAAAATATAATAGATAAATTTTAAATATCTTTATATGAGAGTATTTGTAGATCTCTTTTAGAGAAAGATAAATTAATATTTTCTTTCTTGATGACAATGAAAGTGATGTAAAGTGATGGTAAGATTACTCCTTAAGAGATTCGTTTTACTATGGTAGGAGGAACATACACAGATCCTACATATCATTAACCTTAAGCTGAATGGATTTCAAAAAAGACATGGTGTTTAATAACTGAGGCAGCTGATGTAATGACATGCTTCAAAGGATTACCTGAATCATTTACAAAGAATCTTGATGCTTGGCAAGAGATATATGACAGTTCTGAACCACAAACATAAAAATTACCAGAACCTTGGGCTTCATCTTTATCAGCCTTTTAGAAATTAATGATTTTAAGAATAATTAGGCCAGATAAATTTGCTAATGCAACATAAAATCTTATTATTACAGAAATGGGTAAATAATTCATGGATCCTCCTCCATTTAATTTAGAGTATGCTTATAAAGATGCAGATGCATTCACACCTTTGATTTTTATTTTATCACCTGGTGCAGATCCTCGTTTGGAAATATAAGCTTTAGCAGATAAATTTGGATTTAGATAAAACTTTATACCACTTTCATTGGGTTAAGGATAAGGAGAAATAGCAACAAATGCTATTAAAGGAGCTGTAAAAGATGGTAAATGGGTATTATTATAAAATTGCCATCTTGCTCCATCATTTATGCCTGAATTGGAGAGAATTCATGAATAAGAAATTTGTGCAAAACCAGATGTAAATACAGATTTCAGAATATGGTTAACTTCAATGCCATCTAATGTATTTCCTGTTACTCTTTTGATGAAAGGTATTAAGATGACTTATGAACCACCAAGAGGATTAAAAAATAATATGTTAAGAAACTTTTCATCAATTGATGCTAAAAGTTTTGAATAATGTAAAAAACCTGTAGAATGGAAGAAATTATTCTTTGGATTAAATTTCTTCCATGCTGTTTGTTTAGAGAGACGTAAGTATGGACCTCTTGGATGGAACATTCCTTATGAGTTTACATCTGCTGATCTTGCAATATCTGTATCATAATTAAAGAATTTCCTTGATACATTTGAAGATATTCCATGGGAAGCTCTTAATTATATGGTTGCTGAAGCTAATTATGGTGGTAGAGTAACAGATCCCAAAGATAGAAGATTAATTGCCATTTTACTCAAATAATTTTATACAACTGATGTGTTATAGATTGATAAACATAAATTAAGTCCAAGTGGAACATATTACATACCTCCAAATGGAATTTTAGAAGATTACAAAGAATACATAAGAAATTTACCTTTAAATGATTAAACTGAAGTATTTGGATTACATGATAATGCAGAAATCTCATCAGCAATTATTGAAACTAATTTCATAACATCAACTATATTATCATTACTACCAAGATCAACTGGTGGTGCTGGAGCATCTGCAGAGGATCTTATAAAGGAAAAATGTAAATAGATTTTATCTAAATTACCCAAAAAATTCAATGTTGAAGAAGCTGCTCGTAAACATCCTGTTTAATATAATCAAAGTATGAATACAGTCTTGTAATAAGAATTGATTAGATTTAATAAATTATTATAAGCAGTTACCTAATCTTTAATTGATTTAGGTAAGGCAATTGATGGTTTAGTTGTTATGAGTGCAGATTTAGAATAAGTCTTTAATAAAGTATTTGATAATCAAGTTCCTGATATTTGGCATAAGGTGGCTTATCCATCACTTAAACCACTAGGATCTTGGATTAATGATTTTATTGAAAGATTGCATTTTATGTAATTATGGATAGATAATGGTGCACCACCTACTTTTTGGGTATCTGGATTCTTTTTCACTTAATCCTTTTTAACTGGTACATTATAGAATTTTGCTAGAAAGGTATAAATAGATTATATAATTAGTACTAAATTCCTATAGATACATTGTCTTTTGAATTTATAGTGATCCCTCCTTCATCATAAGAGTATGATCTCACTAAACCACCTGATGATGGATGTTATATATATGGTTTATTCCTTGATGGAGCTAGATGGGATGAAGAAAATAGATGTCTTAATGAAAGTTTACCTAAAATCTTGTAATATTCAGTACCATATCTATGGTTATTGCCAAGTGAGGAGAAGAAAGATTGGGAAGCAGATACAACTGTAAGAAAATTATTTAATTTTAATTAGGTTTATGAATGTCCAGTTTATAAAACTTCAAGAAGAGCAGGTACATTATCAACTACTGGTCACTCTACCAACTTTGTAATATCTGTATATTTACCTATTTCACCTGATCATCATCCCTACCATTGGGTTAAAAGAGGAGTAGCAATTCTATGCTAGACAGATGATTGAATTAATATTTTGAATAATAATATAAATTAAAACTTAATTATTTATGGAAGAATAAACTTAAGAACGTATATCTTAATTGAAAGAAATCTTAGCTCTTGATGATGTTCCTAAAATTACTAAGAAATTAACAAAATTAGGATTTTCTTATTCTGAATTACTATAATAATTGATTGAAACCAATCATAAATAAGGCATTGAAATCTTATAATCATATTCAAACAATTTTACAGAATTTAAAGGGAAAACACTTGTAGCATTAATTTTGTATCTCTCCACTTAAGATTCTAATATAGAAGCTATTTTATAAGCTGATAGATTATTATAATCCAATTAATATGTTGGAAGTTTTATAAAGATTTATGAAAGAGCCATTTAAAATAATAGTCCATTTAGCTAATAAATAATTAATCATATTATCTAAAATAAAACAAATGTCCCTAATTTTAATCTTATTTTTGATAAATTATTTCAATTATGTAAATAAAAACAATTGAATAACATTAATGAATTTGATAAATTGATGAATACATAAAAAGATGTAGTCTTAATAATTGATAAACCAATTATAAAGATTTTCCCATTGACTCCTAGAATTAAATCTGATTATTTACCTAAACATCTTTAAATAAAGAAAACATAAAATGCAATATCTAAATAAGAAGAATTAAGATCAATGTAAAAGAAAAAAATAATGACTAAAAAGAAATTAATGAGAGAACTTTATAAAGAATAAAATTAATTGCATAAAATTAAAAAAGACAAACTTCTTCATCAACTTGATAAATAAAAAGATGGATATAAAAAGTAATAATAATTTTAAATTTATTTAGAGGATTGAGATTATTGGAAGAATAATAAATGGAATTAAAAAAACTTAAAACTATGCAATTAAATATAAAAAGACATAAAAAGAAGTCTTCTAGAAAGGGGGGTAATAAATAATGAAATATTTGTTAATATTATTAATTATGAAAAAATTTCTTTCAGCAATAAAGAATGTGACAGACCCTGAAAAAATGGTAAAGTATGGAGCTTAAAAACTTGAAAACTTTGCTGATTATTTAGATCCTAATAATGAAAAGTCTTCTCAACAAATTCCATTTATGGTAATAGCCATAATTAAAATTTATTCTAGATCACTAGACAAATGAAATATGATCTTATGGATTTAGGATATAATTATGATGATATAAAAAAAATGACACCAACTTACGCCAGTAATCTATTATAAAATCAAATTTAAAAAAAATAGAAGTGATTTATTATATTCTCACATAAAAAAATTACGATTTTTTTATTTTAATAACCTAGGTTCAAAAGAAACTTTTTTTTAAGAATTAGACTAAGTTACTTTTTATACAGATTTATGAGATTTTGATTTATTTGTCTTAAGAATACTTCTTATTGTTTATGTATCTGACCCTGCCTAATTTTTATTCAAAATAACAGAACAATCATCTAATTATTCATGATGAATTGAATTTTATGTTACACTTCTATTCATTTTCAAACATTTTTCTGTTTATTCTTTATCCAAAATCTATTCCTTTAATTCTTGTTCAGTTTTTATTTATTCTTCTTAAGTTTTCTATATTTATTAATCTTAAATCAGATTAAATGGAATTGCTTTTGTCTCTTACTTTTTTTTTAATGGAATCTCTTGAAAATTAAGAATTAATTCTAAATAATTCATTTCATAAGTTTCTTCAACCATGTCTGAATGATTATGAGGTTTTACTAAAGGAAATTGCTTGTCTGGTTGAAATTTCATAAGTTTATTAATTATTGGATAGTTAAGGTTTCCATCACATCGAGATTATCTTTTAATGCAAACAGCCCCCATTTAATGAAATTATAAAATAATCAAATAAGAATTTTATTCTTATCATTTTATTTTGTGAATAATTCCTTTAGAAAAAAAATAACAGAAAAACCCCATATCAATTTATAAAAGAAAAGACTTTTAATTAATTTTCTAAACTCTATATTGAAGGTTATCATAGACTTTATTAGGTATTTTCTTATAAAATTACTATTTATATTTCATTCAATTTTAAAAGTCTCCTTTTTATTAAATTCATAAGGAGGATCAACATTTTATATTAAATAAACAACAACTTTAAAAATTCTTTTTAATTAATATTGATAATAAATTCTCATTTATTTTTATATTAACAATTAAGAAATGAATAATAAGAATTTTTATTTTCTAGAAAATAGTCTAATTCTTGTATCCTAGTATTTAAAATAAAAGATAGAGATTTGTATTTAAATATCTTGAAATTAAATAATGAAAAAATTAAACAAAAAAATTGCATTTTCATTTTGTAAAGATTTTTATACTCAAAAATCTTATTGAATGTTATTGAATAGTGATTTTATTTATTGATTCATTTAATATGAGATATTATTCATAAATCAAATATCTATACAAAAATTAATTAAAAATTTTATAATTTTATTCATGAGTGATCACGATGATAATGATAATGATTAGGAGTTACAAGAAGAAACAACAACAAATGCCCCTAAGTTTGAAGACTATTCTGATGTATAAAAAGTTTAAATTATTTAGATGGATAAAACTTAAATTCCTATATTTGAAAAGAATGCAGGAACAGATTGCTTTAAAAAAGGGGATTATTTTGAAGCTANCTAATTTTTATTCAAAATAACAGAACAATCATCTAATTATTCATGATGAATTGAATTTTATGTTACACTTCTATTCATTTTCAAACATTTTTCTGTTTATTCTTTATCCAAAATCTATTCCTTTAATTCTTGTTCAGTTTTTATTTATTCTTCTTAAGTTTTCTATATTTATTAATCTTAAATCAGATTAAATGGAATTGCTTTTGTCTCTTACTTTTTTTTTAATGGAATCTCTTGAAAATTAAGAATTAATTCTAAATAATTCATTTCATAAGTTTCTTCAACCATGTCTGAATGATTATGAGGTTTTACTAAAGGAAATTGCTTGTCTGGTTGAAATTTCATAAGTTTATTAATTATTGGATAGTTAAGGTTTCCATCACATCGAGATTATCTTTTAATGCAAACAGCCCCCATTTAATGAAATTATAAAATAATCAAATAAGAATTTTATTCTTATCATTTTATTTTGTGAATAATTCCTTTAGAAAAAAAATAACAGAAAAACCCCATATCAATTTATAAAAGAAAAGACTTTTAATTAATTTTCTAAACTCTATATTGAAGGTTATCATAGACTTTATTAGGTATTTTCTTATAAAATTACTATTTATATTTCATTCAATTTTAAAAGTCTCCTTTTTATTAAATTCATAAGGAGGATCAACATTTTATATTAAATAAACAACAACTTTAAAAATTCTTTTTAATTAATATTGATAATAAATTCTCATTTATTTTTATATTAACAATTAAGAAATGAATAATAAGAATTTTTATTTTCTAGAAAATAGTCTAATTCTTGTATCCTAGTATTTAAAATAAAAGATAGAGATTTGTATTTAAATATCTTGAAATTAAATAATGAAAAAATTAAACAAAAAAATTGCATTTTCATTTTGTAAAGATTTTTATACTCAAAAATCTTATTGAATGTTATTGAATAGTGATTTTATTTATTGATTCATTTAATATGAGATATTATTCATAAATCAAATATCTATACAAAAATTAATTAAAAATTTTATAATTTTATTCATGAGTGATCACGATGATAATGATAATGATTAGGAGTTACAAGAAGAAACAACAACAAATGCCCCTAAGTTTGAAGACTATTCTGATGTATAAAAAGTTTAAATTATTTAGATGGATAAAACTTAAATTCCTATATTTGAAAAGAATGCAGGAACAGATTGCTTTAAAAAAGGGGATTATTTTGAAGCTACACGTCATTATGCTAAAGTAAAATTTGAAATTTATTTAAGGCTGTAATGGCATATTAATTTTTTATAAAAGATGGAGTAGTGAATGATCCAGAAGAAATCAAAAAAATGACTTAAGAAATATATGTAAGTAAATTATTGATTTATTTTGTAGCTTCCTTGTAATCTCAATTTATCCTTATGTTATATTAAATAAAAGGAATATCAAATGGGAAAGGATTTTGCTAATAAATCATTAGAAGTTGATGCTAATAATATAAAGGGTTTATATAGAAGGGGAATTTGTTTAATGCATTTATAAGAAGTATATAATAATTCAATTAATTAGTTTAAAGCAGCTGGAGAGGATTTTAAAAGAATATTGGAAATTGATCCAAATAATGATGATGCAAAATAAGCTTGGGAATAATTAATAAAAAAGAAAGAGTAGATTAAATAGAAATAAAAAGCAATAAGTGAAAAAATGTTAAATAGTTTGAGTTATGAAGATAAAATTGTTACAAATACAAAAAAAGGAAAAAAAAATTGGTTTAGAGAAAAATATGATTGGTTAAAATAAATATTGTGTGTTAGAAAAAAGGCAAAAAAAAATTGATAACACTTTATTAGTTTTAGATAATAATAAATAATCTTTATTAATTCATATTGTCATTCTAAAATTGATTAAAATAAATATTGATAAAATAGATGTTGTAGAAATTTGTAAGTTGGTTTAGAGAGTTATTTTTTGGAAAAGAGTTAGAGATTGCATTAGTAGGATTATAAAATGCAGGTAAAACAACTCTAGTTAATACTATGGCTACTGGAAAGTTTGAAGAAGACACTATTCCAACAATAGGGTTTAATTTTAGATCAGTAAAGAAAGGAAAAGTGTAAATGAAGATGTGGGATGTTGGAGGATAAGCAAGGTTTCGAGAATAATGGGAAAAATATTGCAGATCAGCAGATGTAATCATATTTGTAGTTGATGCATAAGATTAAGGAAACTTAGATATAGCTAGGTAATAACTTAATTAGTTAATATCTTGGCCTAGTTTAGAAGGAATTCCTTTATTAGTATTAGGAAATAAATATGATCTATAAGGATGGTAACATTTATTTCTAAATTTCTAGTATTACGGAATAAGAACTTATAATATAAATGAACTTAAATTCAATAAAAGATAGATTGGTTGCATGCTATAGTATTTCAGCCAAAAAAAATACAAATATTGATGAAATGTTGAAATGGTTGTCCAAAATCTAAAGAAAAAATAAATGATAATAATATTTGTTAATTAAAATTCATTATTTGATTGATGATTAGAATTATTCTGTTTAAAATTAAAAATTGGTAAATATAAATCAATAAGTCTAATATATATTTTTTTTATGAAGAGTTACTTATATATACATTAAAAATCGTAAATATTAATTATATATATATATAATAATAAACAATTTGTAAAATATATACTACATAAGATCAAATGTTTATGTAAAAAACATGTAAATAAATAAAATCTTAATTATATTATATTCACATTATAATAATTATGCTATTAATATTATTCTCTTTAGTTTGTGCTAAAAGAATTAATGGACCAGTACATAAAAAGCTTTTTGAACAGATTTCTGATACAAATTATGTACATAATATTGATTCCACATTATTACTATAATATAATAGGTAATTGATATTAATTATATTTTAAGTTATCCTGGAGTGTATAGTATGGAATTAGGTGAAGTTTTAGATGGAGAATATAGACCAATAAAAGAGAATGTTACACTTGATCCATTCACTTTACCAGGATGCTATTAATATCAAAGAAGATTAATACATAAACATTTAGCTGATCAATAGATTGAATCTGATGAATAAACATTTACTGATATGTATATTGATGGTGATTTTGTTTTTGTAACAAGAAGTGATAATGCACTTTTAAAATTTGAAATTATACTTGATTTAGAAAATAGAAAAATTATAGGTTTAGAATTTAAAGAAAAATATGAAAATGGAGGAATAAGTTAATAGCATTAACTTTTTTGTTATAATAAAGTTTGCATAATTTTAGGAGAAGAAGGTTAAAACTTTATTTATAAAGACAATAAAACATCTTCAATTAATTTAACTTCCATTATTGGCGAATTTAGAGAGTTTCCAAAAGATGTTTATTTTGATGAGAAATCTAAAATAATATATATTTGTTATGAAAACTCAATTGTGGATGTGTTACAATTCACTAATGATAAGACAATTGAAAAAGTTAAAACTATAATAGCTGGAGAGAAAATAGTTTAAATTAGAACTAATCCTGAAAGTACCATTCTTTACCTACTTGATTAATAAGTGGGATTACTTTCTTATTAAATTGTTTCTCTTTTAGAATATAAATAAACTTCATTTTAAATAATCTTAAAGAATTGTATGGCTTTTGATTTTTATTAAAACACCTTTTTTATTGTTGCTGAAACTTAGGATGGCATTCCTTATGCTTTAGAGGTTTTTTCATAAGAGGATACTTATTATTTCAATAAAATTTATTCAAAAGATATGGATATTTATGATGTATGGGTTGGAGAACATTTTGCAATTCTTATAGGAGCTGAAATACATAGAGTTATTTATCATTCTATTTATAATAAATTTATTGAATAAACTGAAATTCCTTTATTCTTTTAAGATATTAATCTAGTTAATGTGGAAGAGTATAGAAAGTGGGATAATACTTCTTATAATGATTAAGCTATTGAATAAGAACCTTTTTAAAAAATTCCTTTAGTTTATAAATAATCATTCATGGTAGGAATTTCAAACAATTAAATTTCATTATTTTCCATTAAATCATTATTACCTTGGGTTTAATGTAAACCAACAACTACAAATAACACATAATATAGTTTAAAAATGAATTCAACATCTTGTTTATCTAAGTAAAGAGAAAATGATCATACAGCATTTAAATAGTGTATAATTTTACATAATTTTACAATTACAGGTAAGGAAATCTATATTTATGAAGAGGATCAATAAAAAGTAATTATATTAGGAAGCATTTTGATGTATAAATATATATAATCATTTTTTTAGTGGAACAATCATTATATTGATTTTGTTTGCTGTGGGTGTAATTCTATATGGCAATTACAAGATTAATCAATACAATCCCATTTAACCGGATGAGTAAGAACTTTAAAATGTTCAAGTAGGAAATCCTGAAAGTTGATAATTTTTAAATATGTTTTTTAAATTAATGGGTAATTTATTAACAATAATTATTTAAATACTTTATTGTATTGCTTTTTTGTCAATATTTACAATTTATGTATTATTTATTAACTAGTATTAGTAATTTACAAATAATTATAAATAGACATTTACAAAATAAAAATTAGTAGCATATAAATAGGTTTTATGAAATTTAACATAAATAATTAAAGTAGTAAAACATTTGAAAGTAAATGTGAGAGTGGATTATAGAAAAAATATATATTTAAAAGAATAAAAAAATGAGAATATAATATTATGTTATATTTTCAATTACATAAAAGCTATTATTTAAACTAGTTGATTAAATACATTTAATCAATAAAATACTAAAAAATCGAAATAAAGATCGTTAAATTTATGTAAATTAATATTATCAACAATTGGGTTACAAATATTTATAATTATAATCATTAAAAATTATCAGTATTATATTAGAATAAAGTATAAAAACAATAAGCAAACGAAAATTAAAATTAAAAATTAAATGATAAACTGAAGATTAGGAAACTTAATTTAATATACTAATTAGGAGATATACTATTATTTTAGAAATTAATCTTTATGGACATTGCCTTTTCATTCGGTTTGAGTATTTAATAATAATAATAATAAATTATCATCTTGTTCATAAAAATTAATATTGTGTTCATTTTATATTTAAAATCAAAATTCAAGGAATAAAACATGAATAATATTGTAAATGATTTAATTTTAATTACAAAATTCATAAGAGTACACTCATTTATTTAGTAATCTATCTTCAAAGAAAATTTAGGTAGAATGAGGTTTAGTGTAAAATTGATTTGATATTTGGCTATTTACACTTTTAGTAAATCAATTATAAAAAAAAGCAAAAGAAATAAAATATATGTTCAATTAAAATTAAGTTGCTATATTTTTTTTCTATATTAAGTAAAGGATTTTTACACAAATGATCTTCTAAATAATAGATTTCATTATTTACTGAAAAGATGTATAATAATAAACAATATCTACTAAATAGCATTATAATTTAATATCATAGAAATTATGATAATGATAAAACATTGTGGAAAGGAGACTTTTTAGAATTAATTTATATATATATTAAAATGAATTAAAACATAAATTTATTTATTTTCAGAATATTTTTTTTACCTTAAAATTATTTAGAGTATGTATATGCCAACATGAAGGCAACTATTTATAATTATATATTTACTTTATAAATCATAAACCTATGTAATTTCACATGATTAATTTTATGATTATAAAAAATCAAAACCTAATCGATAAGGTTATCGATGTTTTACGTTACGATCAAGAAGATAGAAGACCTTTACAAAGTAATTTAATGAATTATAAAAGTATTCTTACAAAAACATGATTTGCTTAGTTAACATATAGGACTGTTAATGCCAAATTTAAAACTTATCTATTTTGATTTAGTCGGTCAGAATGTAGACTGTGAAAAACGAGTTTATTTATTTCTGAAAGGAAAAGTGAGTATTGATGATATTCTAATTTTAGAAGGCTGTTAAATCCTAAAACCTACTATAATGCGTATTGTTTATCTTTATAAAGTAACTTTTAGCAGAACTCTTTATAATCAGATTGTTTAAATGAATAGATAAAGGGAAATTGAAGCCAAATTAACCTTTTTAATTCAATTCTCATTTTTTTCTGGAATTTATTTGAGTTCTATCTATGCCATTCTTGATTAAATTCCACTAAAAACATTTCAATATAAAACAAATCTCAGTCATGTTTTACCAGGAATTATATGCATTATAAAATCAGGGTATCAACTCCTTATCAAACTAGATCAGTTGTACTCCAGTCTAGTTAGGGACCATTTCACAAATAATTGTATCAATTTTAAATGATTGTAGTTTAATAATAACAGAAAAAGATCTATTTGGAGAGTCACATTTTGTGGATGAAGATAGTAAAATTAATTTGAAAAAGTAAAACATAAATCAAAAATACTATGAAGCTATTTGTAATTCTTAAGTTGTAGAATTATATTTATTAAATGTATCTGAATTAATTCATACAATAAATTCATAATAATTAAGAGTAAATAATAAATTCATATTTAGTTGTTCTTATAAAAAAAATTTAGACAAAGAATAATGTAATTAAGATAGAGTATAGAATAAAATTAATCTTTCTCGAAACCATTATAATAATAATAATAATAATAATAATAATAATAATAATAATAATAATAAAAATAATAATAATAATAATCTTAATAAAGATTAAGAACAAATACTTAAGCTTCTGATTCATAATATGAACATTTAAAATAAAAAGAGACAGCAGCAATAGATAAAGTAAAAGAAGTTGTAAAAAATATGAATTTTTCGTATTCAAGAACTAGAAATTATTTTGCTTCAAAATTAGGAGCTGGAAATATTCTATTTCATAAAGCTTTCATGTATTAATATACTCCTCATTATACTAAAAAATAAAGATAATCATCATTTTCTACTGCAATAAAATAGAAATTAAGTTAAAGAACAGAAAGATGCAAAACTATGTCTAATATAGAAATGAGAACCACAATGTTATAAAATTCTTTTGGCAAATATTAATTTGAATAAAAAGAAAAATAGTCCAAACACAATATATTTGATTGATAAAATTTGCTTATAATGTTTATGTTTGAAATAATTAAAAATATAATTATAATTTTCATTTAGCTTTTTGTAGAAATTAATCTACAGTTTCTATACCAGATTAAGATTATATGAATGAATTTAATTCTTATTACTTTTTATTTTTTATTTATGGCAAAGGTGGCTTAGTAGTTTATTGTTGTTAATTTTCAGGGGATTCTGATATTGATTTTCTTTTATCTTAAATTTTTACTGTCTTTTTTTCAACTGTTTAATTTCTTGTTCTTTTAAGATTTGATTTCTTTTAAATTTCTTCTGTTTTTGTTTTTGTTTTCATTGAAAGTATTGGTTATTCTATTACATCTGTTTTTAAATTCACACTTTAATTAGTTTAATTAGTTTTTAATTAAAACTCATTTTTTACTTTAACTTAATCAATTGATTTGTTTTAGGCATAATGCATTTGATATCTTGAAGATAAATCTGTTTATATTTTTTAAGGATAATTAGGAATAAAGTGATTATTTTAATTGGAATATTTAACTAATAAGTCTTATTATTTTTGCCATTCTTCAACTTTTCGAAATGATTATTATTTAAAATGATATTATTGATCTTAATTTATAGGTCTAGAAGGTAATGTTTCTTAATGATTATTTAGATTACTATTTTAATTATTTCTAGAATTATTGCCACTTTATTTGAAAATTGTAAAAGAATTTTGGGTATAATTGTTCACAAATCTTGTGAATATTAATCATATATTATACTAGATATCTTATTTGACCATCATTTGATATATTTCGATTGGATTCATGATTAATCTTAATAATTAAAATAATTATAATTGATCAGATTTTCCAGTTATTTTACTTTCCCCATTTTTTTATGATTGTTATGATATATTCAACTTAAGGATTCTCCCCTAAAGTTGTTAATAAGTTCATAACTTCAAGTAATTAATCTAAGGTTGCTTTTGATGCTATAACCATTTAAAATACTCCAACAACAGATCCTTTTAAAGCATCTTCATATTCATTATCTGAATCTAATCTTGCTAATATATCAAATGCTCTTGCTGCATAATAAAAATGGCCCATTTTATAACAATCATTAGCAATAAGTTATAAAATTTAGAATGACTCTGAAGATGGATCCATATTCAAATATAATTCCCAAGCCTCTCTATAAGATGATAAAATGAATATACTTAGGTTTTCCATTCATAATGAAAGTTCTTGTCATCCATTTTAAATAACAATCATCAGACTATTTATTTTATAATCAATACTTTATATTTCTCAGCTTATATTGCAATTAGAGATTCTTCAGCTTCTTTATAATCTCCAACACCAGCACATGAAATTCCATAATTCCAATTAAAATCATCATCATTTGTGAAATAATTCTTAATTGATTTTAAATAAACTAAAACATCCTCAAATTATTTGCATAAAAAGAAACATTAAGACATACATTATCTTCCTGGAATTGTATCACATTCACTAGCAGATGATCCTACCAATTAAAATAATTATTAAGCAGTTTTTAATGCCTCTTTTGATTCTGAATTAGATTGTCCTTTCATAGCATATACAATTGCTTTTAGTATGTATTCTTTAGGTGAAGTAGGCTATAGATCTTTCACTAAATTATAAGCTTCTTAGATTTCATCGTTTTTTAAATAATAAATAATTAGATTTAATTTGGCTTCTGGAAAGATTTCAACTAAAGGAGGCAATGTTTACAGAGCATTTTCACCTCCTCTCATAACTACTAAATTATGTCTTAATAAATCGTTATCAGCAAATACGTTTCCTCCTTCATAAGCTTATTAAAGAGGTTTCATAATCTCTTCTGATGCCTTTCCACTATATAAGGAAAATTAATTGCATGCTTTCAAATTAACAGCAGTAACACTTGTTGGATATTGATTTAAATATGACTATAAGATTTCAATTGAAACATCAAAATATTCCATTTTATAATAACACAAAGCCACATAAACATTAATAGCTGTATATTCTCTATTCTCTAAAAGTAATTTTTTGTATGCATCTGTTGCCTATATATTTTAAATTTAAATTCTATACTTCTTCATAATGTCCTCTTAAATAATGTATAGCAGCTAAGCATAATTAATCATGAACATTTTCAGAAATCTTATGATGATAAGTCATTAGATTTTTCTCATCATTTTTTTTATGTGCAATGTGAAATTATCTTTATATCTCAAAATTTATACAATCTGACAGCCAAAGGAGTTTCAGGTCCTTTTGAGCATTCTCTTTTTGAATCTTCATATTAGCAAAGTGCATAATAACAACATGCTTTATACACATGAATCTCCTTATTATAATCTGGTTTGCTCATCATCTAATCATAAACTTAAATTGCTTTCCTTTTTGATTTACTAATATAATTCTTACTTGTAATCACCATTATGAAAGTAAGCATATGCAAGCCATAACTTAGGTTCAGCACGTGAATCATTAAAACTTATTTTTCTTAATAAAAAATTACTTTTATTCATTCTCCAATAGAGCAACTGCTCCAACCCAATCTCTATTTTTTACATAATCTTCAAGTGTTGGCATTTTTTATTCAACTACTTTTACACCTAATCCTCCTCCTACTGGAGCAGAAACTTTTGTTTGTTTAGCTTTACTCATAGATGAACCTGGTCGTATCATGATCTTCTTTAATAATTAATTTAAATATATTTATTCTCTATTTCAGTCAATTAATTTACCATATTCAATATATATATTTCAATTATTATTACATACACATTCAAATAGAATTCATCATATATAACATTGAATTAATTTGTTCCTTATCTCAATTACTAAAAATTTAAGTTTAATTAAAAATAATATGAAAAAGCTATATTAATCCTTTGAAAGTGAAGCTTAAAACTTTTAGAATACATTAATACATTATTAAGAAAAATTTTAAGGAAAATTTTAGAATATGCTGTAGAAATCAGAAGTGAAAAAATAAAAAATTATTGAGAAATTATAATCTACTAAAAAACAATTATAGATAAGTATTGAAGCGAACAATCCAAACAAAATCTTGAAGCTTCAAAATAAAATAGATAAATTAGAAATAGACATGTAGAAAATCAATCGAAAAGATTAAATTGCTAATGATTATCATCTAGTGTACGATGGATTATTTAATTAACTCTAAATTACTCAAAATCAAAATATTGAAACATTATCATAAGCTTAAAGAAATGATAATTATAAAATATTATGTTCAATCAAAAGATAAGCAGTGAATTTATCAAACTAAGTTTATAAAAAGAAACATATTGATCCTATTCGACAAATATGTAATCATTGTAATAATGTAAATTTATTATTCATTAATTATAGCTATTAAATGAATATCTTAAACTTGGTGTTGATTAATAAATTTAATAAGATGATATATTTTAAATTGACATTGTAGAAAATTAAAAATTTATAGAAAAAAAAAAGTTAGAAGAATAAAAAATGCTAGTAAAATAAGAGAAAATTTAAAAATATTTTGATGAAAAAGATCAATAAAAGTAAGATAAAAAAAATAAAATAAAGAACAAATATAAAACTTTTGAGTATTATGATTAACAATAAAAAAAAGAATAATAGAATAAGGATTTTAGAAAATAATAATAGAAGTAAGATCAATATGATATTGATTTAATTTAATAATTCGATAATTTATAAATTAAAGATTAAAATAAACAATGTGAAGACATTAAATAATAAAACAATTTTTAAAATGATGTAACAGCTATAGAAGACTCTAAACTATGCTAAATTTGTTTTGAATTTCCTAAAGAATATGTAGCTACTCCATGTGGACATTTTGTTTATTGTAAAAATTGCAAAAACTTAGCATTGAAAGAATGTTTAATTTGTAGAGAACCTGTATAATTGTTGATTAAGGTTTTTTAATGATAAAATTTTAAATTCATCTATTTCATTGTTTTATTGAACTGAAATTTTATAAATGAGGAAGTTTAGTTTTTGCCTCAATCTTAGTATCTTTCATTTTAAGAAATCTTCTTTTATATTTCTTTTGAATAAAACCAAGTTTTTCATAGAATCTTTTCAGGTGAGGACAATTATCTCCACATTTTGCATGTACTTATTTCATTTTAACCATATAATCTCTAAACTCCTCTTATGAAATATTTTCATTTCCTTTATATGATAATATTTTATACCTTGTTTTCCTAAAGCATTTCTAACTTGTCTAATTAATTCTCCCATTCCTCCAGATTTATTATTAACCATTTTATTATATAATTTATCAGCTTGATCTTATTCAGGTTCTTCATCATCCAAAGTATCAAGTGACTTTTATGATTCAGCAGAAGCTGGTCTTTATTATTAATTTGGAATTTCTTCTTGAACTTCTTACTATTAATTAAATTATTATTAAGTTTATTAAAGCTTCTATTATTTATTAGTTTTAATTTGTTATTTTAATGAAACCCAATTTTTTATCTATTCAATCTTAGTCTTATCTAAACCTAATTCATATAAATATTATAAGACTTAATCCATTGACATTTTACCATCATTATATGTACCATCTGTTTATGTAGCTTTTTAATCAGTGCCTAATTTAGTAATTTTAGTTGTTCTTGTTCCATCTGATGCAATAGTAGTTTCTTCAACAATCAAATTACCATTTTTATCTGCTCTAACTCTTTTAACACTTTTTTCAATCTTTCCATCAACTCCAACCTTTGTTTCTTCAATAAATTCTTCTCCATTCTTGTTTCTCTTTTTCTTTACAATAATTTTATTTCCTTATGCATCAACAGTTTCTATTTCTGTGATTACATTTCCATCTTTATCAACTGTAGTTTTTACAACTGTTTTCGAACCATCAGCATTTGTTGTAACAGTTTCTGTAATTTCAGCACCATCCTTACCTTTAGTCACTTTAGTTTTTACAATTTTCTTATTTCCTTATTCATCTACTATAACTTCCTCTTTTACTTCTACTCCTCCTTCTCTATAGATTTTTCTTTAAACATTTAACTTTTATCCATTCTCATAAACAACTTCATTTTCAATTACATTTCCTTCTGCATCTTATTATACATTCTTCTCTTAATTAACAATAGATCCATCTTTATTTTAAATTTACTTTTAAACAGTTTCTCTTCCAAAAGAGTCCTTAACTGTTTTAATTACTACTTTTTAACCTGTTTTTGCATCAATTCTTTCCTCTTCAGTGACTATATTGCCTTTTGCATCTCTATAAACTTTTTTCTTTACAACAGTTATATTTCCATTAGCATCAACAATCTCTTCTTCAATTGTTTCAGTTCCATCTTAATTCTTAACCTTTCTTTATATTGTAACGGATCCATCTGCATTTTAAATTTCCACTTCTTCAACCCCATCCTTAATTCTTGTTTTCTTTATTATTTTGTTTCCTTGAGCATCAAAAGCCACTTCTTCAACCACAGTTATACCATTTTCTTAATATATTTTTTATTCTTTTGTTGCTATCTTTCCATTTTTATCAATTATTTATTACTCTATGATATCTTAACCATATTCATTTTTTCTCTTTGTTGTAATAACCTTATTTCCTTTCGCATCTATTCTTTCTTCAACTACAACCTCATTTCCATCACTATCAATATAAACTTTTCTTTTGACCTTTGTCTTATTTCCTTTTTCATCAATTATCTCTTCTTCAATAATATCATTTCCATCTGCATCTTTATAAGCTTTTTATCTTTTTGTGATTTTATTACCCTTCTCATCCACAGTCACTTCTTCTACTACATCTACTCCATCTTTATCCTTTATAGTTCTCTTTGCAACCTTTAATTTCTTACCATCTGGCATAACATATTCTTCTTCAACATATTCAACTCCATTCTTATCTTTCTTTATTCTCACTTACTTTATTCTTTTTTACTTCTATCCATTTTCATCAATATATTCTTCTTCAACTTCAAATCTCTCTTCATCTGCTTCATTTCCTTATAATTTTCTAACCTTTTTTCCTGTTTTATCTTCAAACCATTCTCCTTGTTTTATTTCTTTTCCATCTTTAGCTACAGGTTTAGAAGGTAAATTTATTTTGGATCCTCCAATCGCAAATCCACCATGAGCCTCTAAAAAATCTTAGGTTTATTTTGATTATTAAATTTGATTTGGTTTATCTCTTTTTCTTAACTCTTCTCCTTATGCATTTACAACTACCTCTTCTTCTACTTCCATTTCTTCCTCTACCCATTCTCCATCACTTTTTTATCTTCTTACCATCTTCTTAACTTTTCTTACAATTATTTTTTCATCTGGATTTAAAAATTCTGGATCAAATAAGGCATCATAAAATGGTACTTTAGCTAATTTTTATTTTCTTGTCATTTCATCTTTTTTTACTCCTCTTGTTATAGCTCCAATATCAGCTCCGCAAATTTATTTAAATATTGGATCTCTTAATAAATCATCAACTGCCATTAATTCCTTCATCTCTTATACATTTAACTTTTCATTCAAGTTTACTTTAAACAAATTCTCTGCTTAACCCAATATAGCCTTCTTTTATTCATCACTTAAATTTGGATTATTTGTTATAAATATTTTGAATCTTTCAAAATTTCTATTCATTTCTTTTTCTAATGCAGCAATATTATCCAATAGAGCCTTGATTCTAAGTTTCATTTTTATATTATCCTCCACTAATCTTTTTATTTTTTCAGAATCATTTTTATTTAACACAGCTTATTATTCTTATTATTATTTATCCTTTGCTTTCTTTTCTTCTTATTGTTTTTCTTCTAATTTCTTTTTCTCTAAAGTAACTTTTTATAATTAGCCATTAAGAACCCCTACTTATTGAGCATAGGCATCTCTCTCTATAAGAGTATCTTTTATTCTTTTCTCCAATTATATCATTTTCTATTGTACATCATGATTTTCTTTTCTTTATTTGTCAAGCTTATCTTAATATTCTTACTCTATTTTTGTTTTATCTGTCTGAATAGACATTTCTTGCATGTATACCAAAACACCATTTTTCATAATAGCTTTACCAGCCTTTATATCAGCTAAAGCTTTTTCCTGAGCCTATTTCTACATTCCTTAAATTCCTTCAACAAAAGCTCCTTCCAAACTTTTCAATTAATTTTACTGTTGTTTTTATAATTCTTCAAAATTTTAAAATGCCTCATCTTCAGCATCATTTACTTCATGTTTTTTTTTCCCTAAATCCTTTAAAACTTCCTTCAAATTAGTTTCAGCCTTTGATTCTCCTACTGCTTATAAATCTATTTTCCTATTCTTCAAAAACTCAGTAATTTGTTAAGAGTCTTAATCCAATTCTTCTTACATTCCTTTAAGTTCCATTTCCTTTTTCAATAGATTTGCCTAATTTCTTGCATCTTTAATATCATCTCCTGTATCAGTTCCCTTATCAGCATATGTCTTTCTTACAGTTTTCTAAAATACTTAAGTTCCTTACTTTAACTATGGGTTATAATTAAACCATTTGATTTGCTAACTTATTTGTTTCTTAACTCTATTGGGCTGATTAATCTACTGATCTAATCATTAAATAAAATAAATTACTTTCTTCTAGGTTAACCAATATTTTTTTATAAAGTCTCTAACATCTTATCTGCTTAAACTTCAAAATTTGTATTCAATCTATTATTTTCATTAATATGTTACTTTAAGATGTAATTTAAAATCATATTCTAACCATTATAAATTTTATTCAGAGATTATCTTAATTCTGATAACTTAGCGCTTTCAAGCATCTCTGATATTTCATATAAAACAATCTAATATATTTCGTGGGTAGTTTTCATGATTTCCACTAATTTAGGTTTTGTAATCTCTTTTTATTTCTTTTTAAAATCATTATCAATTTTTGATAATAGTTTATCTAGTTTGGCTATTTTTACTAAGTCTAATTCTCCATATTCTCTTCCAACTCCAGTTGGATTGTCTATTTAAGAATATCTATAATCAGTTGCCATTTTTTTTATAAATAATTTACAAAATACATCAATATTCTAAAATTATAATAGGAATAATTAATTGCAAGTAGAAAACGATAAATCCCTTCTATTTAATAATTAATATAACAATTAAAAGATGCTTTTAATTTTCTTTGGACAAACATAAAATATATATTATAACTCATAATATCCTATAGAATTTTTATATTTATATTTAACTAATCATATTTTTCTATGTTAATCTATTTTTTCTCCCCATCTTTTTTCTAATCTTTCCAAATTTTAAAGAGTTTCATCGTATTTTCTCTTTAAAATTGAATATTCTTCAATCTTTTCTTAATATTCTCTTTGTTTTCTATTGAGCTCATTATTTAGTGAATTAATCTTTTATGTTAAAGCTAAATTTTCTCTTTATAAACTTTCTAATTAAGATTACAAATCTTATTATCTAAACATAGATCCTTAATTTTTAATAATTATAATTACTTCTACTATCCTCAACAACATTCTTCTTTTATAATTACTCCTTTCTTGCTTCTTCTAATCCCTAATGTAATTATTCAGTTTCTTCCTTTCTTTTTTTTAGCAAATCCATTAAATGAATTTATTCTTGTTTGGCCTAAGATAATTCATTTTTTTAACTATTAATAGTTGCTTACAATTAAGTAATTAACATATTATTCTTTAGCATTTCTTCTTACATATTGTAATTTACACTTCTGATTTTTTCCATTTCCATTTTCAAAGATTCAATAAGATCTGTTTTTTATTACAAATCCTACTAATATTAATATTCTCTTTATTCAAAATCATAATATGATAGTGCATTTCTTTTATCTAAAATCTTCATCTATTATTCCATATTTTATTTTAAATCATTTATTTCATTTTCTTTAACTTCTATTGTTTCTTCTAATTGAATTCTTAAATTTCTTAACTTTCTTTCCAAATCATTAATATTTTCTTATTATACTTTCTTTTAAACTTCATATTAATCTTTAAATGCACTCATCTCTTCAATTAAATCTATAACCTATTTTTCCTTTTCTTTAGTCTTTGAAATTTAAATTCCTAAAGCTTCATTTAAATCATTAATTTAATTTTTTGATTCTTGCTTTATTTACCTTAAATTGGCTTCTAAAATTTCAATCTCTTATCTAAATTAGAATTCTTATTATTTATAGTTATCTATTTATTTAAGGAGTTATTATGTTGATATTTGATATTATTAGAGTTATTAACTCTATTATTCATTTTATCTTTATATTTATTGTAATTTCTCTGAAACCTTTTTATTTTCATTAAGAATTCCATTTGTTTCATTTTTTTATTATTCTAATTATTTCTCACAAGTAATTAATTCATCTTATATTTTATTTTTTTTTGAATCTAAGGTCTTAAATTCAATTAATAATTTATCATAATCTGATTTTGCAGTAGCTAATTTATCATCTAAACCTTTTTATACTATTTAATAATTTTAAACTGAAGACTAAAAATCTCTTTCAATTTCTTTCTTTTATTTGTTTGCTTGATTAAGATCTAGTTCCTTTTATTGCAAACTAACTCTCAATTACTCAAGCTAACTCTCTAAATTATAACATAATTATTGAAAATGTTCTTCAGATTCTGCTTTCTCTCTTAATGTTGATTTAACCTTTTCTTCTAATTAATTTATAACAGAATTCTTTTAATCTAATTATCTTGAATCTACTTGATTATGGGCTACTTCAGCTTTCAAATTGTCATTCTCAATTTATAATTAAAAAAGTTTCAATTCTAATTATTCATTCTATTTTGATTGTTTCTATACATTATTTACAGATGGTGATCTTAAAATAGAAGGGGATTTAGTCATATCTCTTTAATAAAAACTTTTTTCTTGGACTACTTATTTGTATTTAAAATCAAGTTATTCATATTCATTTTATAAATTTTGATATTTTGTTCTCAATTCTCTAACTTATTCATCTTGAGAAAATAATTATCTACAAACCATATTTTCTGTTTTAGTTTTTTCTGCTTTCTATAATTAAAGTTTTAAATCTTCATTTTCTTTTTAATTTTGTTATAGACATTCTAAAACTCTATTAAATTCTTATTAAGAATAATAGGATCTTTGATCATCTTCTTTTTTCTTTTTTTCATCTTCGACACCTTTCTATTCATATTCTATCAATTTTTTATTGAGCTTTAATATTATCAAAAATATACTTTTTAATTTTCTTAGACTAAAGATGCCATTTTAGTTTGAAGTTATTCTAAAATACCTTTCAATTTATTATAATCTTCTGTTAAAGTATTGATTTTTTATTCATTTTCATAATTATTCTAATTAGAAGTAGTAGATTATTATGATTGAGTATCAGACAAAGCTATTTCTTCTAATTTTCTAAAATTAGATAACACATCAATCATTTTATCATTTAATGCATCAGGAAGTTGGCTTGCTCCCATTTATTTTTAAACTGCAGAGATTAATTCTCTCAATGAACTTGATATTTTATTAATTTCAGTTTATAGTTTTGTTTTTGATGAAAGTGTAATTGGCATATTGGTTTGTTTCTATTATTGAATATTATTAGAAGAATAATTTGAATAACCTTATTAATTGTTGACTTCTTAAATTGGTGATCTACATAAGAAATCTAATCCAATTTTGATATTTTCTTTAGATTCTAAGAATGGATTTTATTCTTATTTAATTTGATTTCGTTTTTCTGTGTTAGAATTCAAATCTCTATTTTCTTTATTAGACTCAAAATTATATGTTTTTGCAAAATCATATTTTCCAAGATCATATTAATTCATTTAAGAAAATAATTATTTAGTTGTATCATAGGGTTTGTAATCACCATATTGATTTTAATTTTTATTTTCAACATATGGTGGTTTATAATCTAAAGTTTTTTATTTGTAATGATATGAATCAAGTAATCTCTTAGGTGATGAAGGTTAAATAGGAAGATTTGCTATTTATATTGTTAAATAAATTACGTGAAGTCAAGACTTACTTATTTGCTTCATATGTTGGAGATTACATATATGGGGAAGTCATATATGTTTGAACTCTAACTTGTGATTAAGTTTTTGTTCCATAAACTAGTTACCTATCTGGTGAATTGACCATCATTGGTGTATATTCTTTTGATACAGAACAAGGTCTAGCCATGGTGACTGTTGTTTGTTGTTTAGGAAGAGGCTTCATTTTCTATATTTTTCTGTTAATTAATTTAAATTTAAACAATTAAACCTATTTTTTATAGATTTTTAATGAAATTCAGAACATAGTCTAAGGATTATTTATGATAATTTTTGCAGCTTAATTGAATATCTTTTAATCTTTAAAATTATTTCTGATTTTCTTGATAGGATCATGCTCTTAATCAAAAGGATCACTCATTGAATATTTTTCTCCTTCCTCTTTTAATTTTTTTTCATTGATCGAAATCTTATATTACTGTGTAAATCCTTCCCCTTAATCTGAATAATATTCAAAAAAATCCTTTAATAATATCGTTAGGGGAACCTAAGAGATAACTTTGTCAAATTAATCTTTCAATTATTTATATTTTTCTCCATTATATACCTTAAATAAATTGAAATATTTTACAAAAAAGACATCAACTTCAAAGCTGCTTTCCTTTTTACCTTCTATATTTCTTTTAATCATTAATTTTGTCTATTATTATTTAGAGTTTTTATATTATTTATCCTAAAGATTGGGCATTTGATACTTTTTTTATAAGAAATGTAGCCACATAATTAATATAGCATAAGAAGAAAAACAATTTTTATTTATTATTCCTTACTTCTTACCCCATAATTTTAATAAAATTCCACCCTAATATATAATATTAATAAATACTTATTAAACTTTCTCATTTAAGTTTGCATATGCATTCAATAACTTAGTGTTGATTACTCCTAACAGATTGTTAAAACACATATCTATTTCTATTTCACTAGTTTAATCTTGTATTTTCATTACAGCAATTCTGGCAAATTCTACCAATTCATTAATTTTGAACTTATTTTAATCAACAGATTAGATTTCTTATCTTAAATATCTAAGAGCAATCCTTTCATCAACATAAGAATTAGTGAGAAATGTGAAATCCACATCTGATTCCTTTGTTCCAAATCCATTTAATTATGATCCAAAGATGCAATATTCAATCTCTGTTTTAAATGGATCATAATCAAGTTGTTTCAGGAAATGCACTAAACTTTTTATTGAATTTTAAAATTTTTTCTTTTTCTACTCAGTCATCTCATTTTTCTTCAATATTTCAATAAGCACTTTGTCTTATTCTTTTAATTGCATTATTATAATAAATATTTAATAATTTAATATTTTGATCAAGTCAAGAGGCTTTTTCTACTTCTTATGTATTTTCAATTTTTTCTTAATAGAAATCATGCTATTATTATAAGGCAATTAATTTACTAATAACTAGGCTTCTTTAAAATCCTCTAATTTCAAACCATCTAATTCATGTTATAAGAAAACTTGTAAAGCTCTCTAATTTTATTATTGAATGAATGGAATTGAGCAGAAATTTTAACAGGTGCAAATTTTTTTTTTTGTGAATTTGCAATCAACATGAAATATTGGAGAGGTTTAAGGTTAGTTTAATTTTATAGCTGAGGCTTTGATTTATGGGCAAAATGGGTCTTCATAAGCTTATTGAATGAATTGATGAATCATAATTAATTTAATTAATGAAATTTTTGGAAGTATTAATAATTTAATCTATAAGAATTTATAATTAATTATGATTTAGATACTTTATATATTAGAGTATTCACTTTATTTTAANCCTTTTTACCTTCTATATTTCTTTTAATCATTAATTTTGTCTATTATTATTTAGAGTTTTTATATTATTTATCCTAAAGATTGGGCATTTGATACTTTTTTTATAAGAAATGTAGCCACATAATTAATATAGCATAAGAAGAAAAACAATTTTTATTTATTATTCCTTACTTCTTACCCCATAATTTTAATAAAATTCCACCCTAATATATAATATTAATAAATACTTATTAAACTTTCTCATTTAAGTTTGCATATGCATTCAATAACTTAGTGTTGATTACTCCTAACAGATTGTTAAAACACATATCTATTTCTATTTCACTAGTTTAATCTTGTATTTTCATTACAGCAATTCTGGCAAATTCTACCAATTCATTAATTTTGAACTTATTTTAATCAACAGATTAGATTTCTTATCTTAAATATCTAAGAGCAATCCTTTCATCAACATAAGAATTAGTGAGAAATGTGAAATCCACATCTGATTCCTTTGTTCCAAATCCATTTAATTATGATCCAAAGATGCAATATTCAATCTCTGTTTTAAATGGATCATAATCAAGTTGTTTCAGGAAATGCACTAAACTTTTTATTGAATTTTAAAATTTTTTCTTTTTCTACTCAGTCATCTCATTTTTCTTCAATATTTCAATAAGCACTTTGTCTTATTCTTTTAATTGCATTATTATAATAAATATTTAATAATTTAATATTTTGATCAAGTCAAGAGGCTTTTTCTACTTCTTATGTATTTTCAATTTTTTCTTAATAGAAATCATGCTATTATTATAAGGCAATTAATTTACTAATAACTAGGCTTCTTTAAAATCCTCTAATTTCAAACCATCTAATTCATGTTATAAGAAAACTTGTAAAGCTCTCTAATTTTATTATTGAATGAATGGAATTGAGCAGAAATTTTAACAGGTGCAAATTTTTTTTTTTGTGAATTTGCAATCAACATGAAATATTGGAGAGGTTTAAGGTTAGTTTAATTTTATAGCTGAGGCTTTGATTTATGGGCAAAATGGGTCTTCATAAGCTTATTGAATGAATTGATGAATCATAATTAATTTAATTAATGAAATTTTTGGAAGTATTAATAATTTAATCTATAAGAATTTATAATTAATTATGATTTAGATACTTTATATATTAGAGTATTCACTTTATTTTAATTGAATGTTGAAAAATACATTCGAATGACAATTAAAATAAAATAAATTCTAAGTTTAGAGTATAATTACAAAAAGTCATAATAATTTAGAGAACAAATTGATGAAATGATGTAAATAGAGTGATTTAAATACATGAATGTTAAATATCAAAATTGATTAATCTTCTTTTGAAATCAAAAATATTAAATACTACTTTAATTATTGTTTGATTTTTGGTTCTTGTTTAAGTTCTGGAAACCCTAATTCAAATTATGGAACATAAGATTCAAGAAATAATTGTTTACATTTGAAGCTCATATTATAAAATAAAACATGATTTCTGTTGTTAAAGTTTTTGATAAACATAACATCTAATCTAAATGATGTAGCATATCCTTTTTTTAGATTTTTTTCTAATGTATTATTAATAATAAAATAGAAAATTAGGAAATTCATATGGATTCATTAGGTGATGAGAATTAGTGATTTTTAACATCATATAAGATTTTGAGGCTGTCTTCTTTTGAGTTCTAAAAATTACATCAATATTTTATTAAATAAATGAATAAATAAAAATTAGCTTAAGAAAAATAATATAGAGACCAAGCAAAATACAGAACCCTGTTCAGTGTAAATAATTTTGATATATTCAGCAAGAACCTCAAAATCCATTTGGAGAAAAAGATGTTGAAAAAATGAAATAGCAATATGCATAAATATTGAAGGAATAAGTAAAGAGTATTATTTATTAATCAGATTTTAGATACTTAAAGGCACAAGGAATAACAAAAAACAATTGATAGATAAGAAACTCAAAAGTAAATTTAATATGAAAGTCCCTTTGGAAAGTATAATGTGAATTTATCTTAGAGATCGATTAATCCATCTGTAAAAACTCAATAGAGAACTTCTAAAACCAATTTAGGACATTGATGAATTCGTTAAGAAAAAGAACTAAACTGATATTTCAAGACCAAAAACTATATTAAAGAATTAATCAACCGAAAGAAGTAATTAACAATACTCAAATGATAATTCCGTAGAATAAGTACCTTAATATAATTTTGACTCTCCCAATTAATAAGAAAATAAGGAATATTTCTAAAATAGAAATTAAAATTAAATCCTTCCTACACAATAAACTTAAAGAATTAGAGATTATTAATCTTCCTAATCTCTTGGTTTACCAGAGCCAATTTTATAAAATAATAGTAATTTATTAATGAAAAACAGCAAAAATATAAATTTTCCTATTCAATTGCCTCCAAAAACACCTGGAATAGTTTATGATAAACAGAATAATCCTATATTATCAGATTATGTGAGCATTTATGATTAGTAATTTAGTAGATTGCATAAATCTGAAAAAAGTGACTTTATGAAAGAATTAAACCAACTTAGATCTTAGTTTTTTGTTTAATAAAAGCCTCAAGTTTAGCCTTTTAAACAAATGGCTAATTTATAATAGTCACCTCCAAAGTTTACTTAAGATGTTGGAATTCAGGATGATTAATATAGGTAGGAATTGATGGAAAGAGAAAGGCAAGAAGAATAAATAAGATAATAAGAATATTTGCGTTAACTAGAAGAACAGAAGAAAAGGGAATAAGAAGAATATGAGAAATAGCTAAGAGAAAAGATAGAAAGAGAATTAGAAGAGCAAAAAAGACTAAAATAATAGGAAATTGAAATTCAAACTGAAAAATTAGTTACTGATACAGGAATTTAACATGTTGATTAAAATGCAGTTACAGCAGCTGAATATATGAAGACTTTAAAATCACTTTCAGGAAGTGTTATTGATATGAAAAATTAATTTATTTAAGGGCAACAAAAATTAAATTATGAGCTAATTCAACTGAGAGATAAGGCACAAAGAGATATTGAAGAGAAATTAAGAATTTAGAAAGAATTAAAAGAATTAGAATAGAGAAATTAAGCAATGAAAGTTTGGGAGGGTGAAAAATAAAGATAATTAATGTAGGCTTTAGAAAAAAATGCTCCAATTCCTCAATATAAATCAGCTTATATGGATCCTAAATAAATTAACCCAACTGTTAAAAAAGTCATAAGATTTAAAGATTAAACTTAAGGATATGAATACGAAGAACCTAATGGAGTAATGTCAAAATCAAATCTTATGCCGTTAAATGGAGGATACGATTAAAAACACTTGCATAATTTAAAGGCTAATGAACCTGTTCTTCCTGAAGAATTAGAAGTTTTTAGATAAGAAATTGCCCCTTAATTAAAATATTCAAATCCAATTACTAGGTAAGTTAGAATGGATGATTTAAATGATTAATTTTATGATTATAAATATCAGAGATAGCTCGAACATCCTGGTTAAGATAGAATTGAGAGATCAAAATATGAAACTCAAATTAAAAATGATCCAAACTAGGTATTATTAGAAAATGATAGAAGGCTACATGAACTCAGAATTATAGATCCCAGAGGAGATAATAAATAAATTTAAGAATTGTATGATTATTTATGAATACATCTATTTTTAATTGATAGCTTGGCTATTTAACACTCTACTTTAGATTTCACAAATATATATTTATCAAATATTTACAATAAATTTATTAACTTAATTGAAAAAATTAATAAATAAAAGAAATTGAAATTTTATCATAACAATTAGATTTTGGATTTGTAAGCTATTGTACTTTTATTTTCTACAGATTTCATTTTCTTTCATATTCTATCTGTTATAACCCTATACATTTAATTTCTTTATTTTGACAATTAATGATTATTCTTGATCAGTTTCAAATGTATAAAATAAATTTAGTCTACTCGTTTCAATTGAAGATCAATTTTTCTCTTATCATAATTTCCTTTCTGAAATTTTATTCCATTTAGATTAACATTATGATGTTACAGTTAGCAGGGAAAATGTGATCAATTTTAATTACTTCTTTTCCTTATATAATATTACAGAAAAATTTTTCTCTTGTGTAAGAAGTTAAATGTTTGACTTGTTTTATTATGGCCTCCTACATTATCTATAGCCTTCTCTCTTGCGAAATTTATTTGGAGCATTTATTTTTGAAAGGGAATCATATCAACATTATAAAGTCGAAGAAGATCATATTATGAGATATTGTGATTAGGGGCGTGGAAGTCTCTCTCTTTGTATTGTTTATCAGAAATCTCTTCTAATGTAATGGAAAATATCTTCTCTTTCCATTTACTAATAAGTTCCATTCGTTTTAAGATGAAGGCTCTTTACTGCTCATCCACTTCATCAGTTTCTTGTTGTAGGGCCATATGGATTTCATGGGATAAAATATCCTGACTTGTTATCTTCAATTAAAATAACACTCTTTACTTCGATAATTTATTGTCTTTCATCATATATATTAGTCTCGATGATAAATTCTCTTTCACTTGAGGAGTCCTCATAAACTCTTCCTCCTTTAATATTCATTACATATTCACTCCAGTTAGTTCTTACTACTCCAATATCCTTTTCTTTGTCTGTATATGCAATAGTTAGAAGTATGTCTTGTTAAGCCATATATAATGTAGGTCGTTATCTTTGTTGATCTTAACATGAATAGACAAATATTGGTTTTAAAAGTTGTTGTAAAAGGTAGTAGGATTCTTTTTAAGGAAAATCACTTGATTTATAAAAAAAAATGTGACATGATAGTGTGTCTTGAAGTAGATGTTGAAATTGCTATAATTTCATTTTCTGTTTAAATCTGACTGCACACACATTCTTGCGATTTCTGATTATTTTAAAAATCTGTTTTTTTTCAAAAATATTAAAGAAATTTATCTATTTACATTTCTCATTAACTTCAATTTTTTAGTTGATTATCAAAGGAGCACGAAGGATCTTATAGTTGCCCATTTGATTTTGTTTTCCTATTAGATTTTGCATTTGATCATGAGGTCTTCTAGGTATTCTCTTGGTCCGTATTTAGTTTGTCTGTCCATCCAAAAGTTTGCCATTCTTTTGATTATTCCTTTCTATCAGATATTTCATATCCTCTTCTAAGTTTTCCAAATAAGCATTTAAAGAAACGATCTTATGGGTCCTTGGTGTATATGGTCCTCATCTAGTACTGAAAAAAGAGATTTCATTCTTTGGGCTTAGATTTATTATATTAATTTTGATTTCTGTATTTAACAGTTATCCATTATTATATATGTGAAATTTCTTTATAAAATCTTTAACATTAAATGAGCAGTTGATCAAGAAAAACTGCAAATATTTCTGGATTCAAAATAACTTGAATTATTTAATAATTAATAAATCCACCATCTCCTACAGCTCCGATTACATTTACTTGATACTTTAGTTCTAATCTTTAAGCCTATTTGCATTTTCCTTTATAGACCATACTGTGGGATTTTTCTATGATTGAACAAAAGTTGTCTCATCGATAAATATCATTAAGTTTTTATTAATTTATAAATAAACCATTTTTTCGAATAATCTAATTAGTCTCTTTTTAATTGCCTTCATCTTAAAAAATCTAACCTTTTTAAACTATCAATAAAGGGATAACTATTTTGTTAACCTATTTTAAGTTAATATCCCTTTTGGAATGTTAATATTTAATAAAAACTATGTGTATATATTTTTTGATGAGCTTACTAAATCAATGTTCTCTAATCTAAAAATTTTCATACCCATTCTTTATGATTAGTTTAAAAAGTATGAAGAAAGAACGATTACTTTAAATCTATTGTTTTAAATATTCTTAAGAATTTAACAATATTCCTAATTCTAAAACAATATCTTTAGATTATAATTTGGCAATAAATATTTTTTTTTCATTCACAAAGTACTTGTACTTTAAAAATTTTTTTGAGATTTGCTAAATTTTTAATAAATTAATATCTCTTAACCAATATTTGTATAAACTTGATACGATCCTGTTTTGAGA